AATCATTCCAGGCAATCGATAATTAAAGTTTGTTGCCAGGCCTTTTGACGTAATGATCTCATGCATATCAGCTGGTTGTTATGTATATATACCAAATCAATTCGGTAATTTGATATTATACGTGGCATTTGTGAAGTACAAAGCAGGTATAGCTGATCTGAAATGGCTTCTTTCGGGGACGGAAAATACTTTATCGAGAACGTCGAAACCAAACGCTACTTGTTCCAGGATGGTGAAAAGCTCAAAGGTGAACGTGGCAGCGAAGGTGGCTGGTTAGCGAGCTCTGGCTTTGAATCTCCAAAATGTGTCGGAGCTGACGCCAACTACTACAACAGAGCTTATTGGAAGTTTGTGCCTCAAGGCGAAGACAAGTACTTCATCGAGAATGTGGAAACCGAGCGCTATTTGTTCCAAGACGGACCGAAGATTGAGGGTGATCGTGGCAGCGAAGGTGGTTGGTTAGCAAGCTCCGGATTTGAATCGCCAAAATGTGTTGGTGCTGACGCTAACTACTACAACCGCGCTTACTGGAAACTGGAACCACAAGGCGATGGCAAATACTTCATTGTCAATGTTGAAACTCAACGTTATCTCTTCCAAGACGGTCCTGAAATCAAGGGTGAGCGTGGCAGCGAAGGTGGTTGGTTAGCAAATTCTGGGTTTGAATCTCCAAAATGTGTCGGAGCTGACGCCAATTACTACAACCGAGCTTATTGGAAGATCATTAGTCAATGAACTTCGTCTATAAACACATTTTAAACAAAATTAACATTAATATAGCGTGTTTATCTTGCCCATATTTATACCTGTCATATGTTTTCATTTAATATGTTAATTAATAAATTGCCTATCGAAGCGATAAGTTTATTTTAAAAGTTATCATTAATTTTTGTCATTCTCTGCTCTTACGCTGGAATTATTAATAAAGTTTCTCCCACCTGAACTCGCACTTTTTGTGACACTCAATTGTAGTTTATACATAATTTAGTATATGAACAATTTTAGTCATCATATTTGGGTATGCATATACTGTAGGAAATAACACCTGTGATATATTAGCATTGGGAAACAAAATTGAAAATTTCCGGAGGGAAGCAAGTTATACTAGTATTCTTTAAAATAACGAGGATTATTATTTGCAAGTATGAATTAGAAAAATATTTGTGGTAAACGCAAAGCCAGAAGTCTCTAATGGTTGAAGAGGATGGCGTTAGTATTTTTCAAATTCGCCAATTTATTTGTCATGTTTTCTTGTGGTCACTAAACAAAACACTAAATGCGTTTGTCAGAAAGCTTATATTACATTACCAGCATATAGGAACCGTTTGTAAAAAATACGTGACCTTTATGGGGTGGGAGGTTGTTTGAAAGAGTGTGATAGTGCGTAGGAAGCGTCACTGGTGGCGTCACACGACGCGAAGTGATGACAGAGTGGCATGATAATTAAAAAATTGCACAATAATTGTTCCTCTCATGCAAGTGCCAAAAAAAACAAATCGGACAAAGCTTTCTTAATTAAATACCGTGAAGAATGTTTGTGGCAAAAAAAGCCTTGAAAATACGGGGCTTTGATATGAAATAACTGCATATGAACCAGGAATTTTGCGCGTGTGTGGCTACTGTCAGTCTTTGCTGCATGGTATAGGGGTGTTATGTTCAGCGTCACCTAATCTTTGAGAGCTAGAGTATATCTAGGGGTTAAAAAAGACACGTATTTTGGAAACAGTCTCCATGCATATGTATTTATATTAATAGCTAGCGCGAAATTATCTCAATTAGGCAGATATTGCTTGAGGACCGGAAGGTCAATGACGACGTGAAGATGGCTAATAAATGGCGTGATATGGTATATCGAAGCTGATCTAAATATATGCCTCATCGCGAGTCAAGATTTATGCAATTTCTACAACTATACATTGTTATCGCTAATTTTGTATGAAAATCACTAAATTGTATTTGTGAAGGAAAAACTGCATAATTACTTACAGTCACTTCTCTACGATAACGTAGCTCAGTTTTCTTATTAAGAAATGACGGCCCTGTTTACACTACTGGCATAGCATGATCATGATTGCAATGTCAAATCTGGCCGTGTCAGAGGGAGTTTTACCCCGAAATATATGATGGCATGATAGTTTTAAATGATCAACGAAATGAAAGTGTTCTGGGGACAAAAAATACCGTAAAACATATTAAAGTGATGCCGAAACCATGTGAGACTGGTATAGTGTGAACAAAGCCGCAAATATGTAACATGTAAATATAGGATTGATTGCATGATATCATGCATGCATGGCCAGAAAATTCAAACATAATTAACATTCTACTTTCGCCCAAATTTGCATATAGCCAAGGTCAAAATAGAGATTCGTGATTTTATAGTAAACATGTAATGTTCACAGTACGAAACGCTAAAAATCCGGCCTTTTTGTAGGTCGATTGTAATTTTTCTTAAGCTCGTTGGGAGCAAGGTAATCTTGACGTTTTGAGGAAGAATTTTAAAATTTTTGATCAGTATTTCGATCATTATTTCTCCTGCATTTTTGAGCCAAAGTTTTAGTCATTTATCACGTTGAACCATGCATATAAAACGAACACCGTAATGCCGTAGAAAAAACTGAAAATTCAGAGCATGTCCGAAATTTGTGACCATGATAAGGGTAGGCAGCATCTATTTAACCACATCAGTGAAATACAATATGTTTTAAAGCTGGGGTCTGTTCAATTATATACATGATTAAGTTATTGTGAAATATGAAGTGTAAAATAAAGACTAAATTAAAAAGTACCTATTTACAAGGTTCATTCAGCAATTCAAATGTAATCCCAGACTCCGTATATAAAAAAGTATTTTGGCCAAAGTGCGGGGCGATAAACAATGCAAAGAGAGTGGAATTAATGATTTCAAGAAGCAAGATTGCCATTGTCAATCAGCATGTAAATAATTGCCGTGCAGCGTTATCTCGTATCTTATTTTATTAATTATTTTCGGGCTAATTAGCTTTAGCTATTTCGCATTCCGTGCTGAAAGTAGTAACACATTGGAAGAAGTTGTTATCTTTTTATTTAACTCAAGACTCACATTAAAAAAGTCAGTTGTTCATGATACTATTTGTCGTAGCCAAATCATCGGATTGATGTTTTGTTTGGAAAAATCGGATTGATGTTTTGTATATTCTGCACATGCACCAACAGTCTGGCAATGTGATATTGGAGGCAAATCAACTTAAAGTGAATGCAGTACTGCTTTATTAACAACAGACTACATGCTGCCTCGTACCTGGGCCCATTGGTATTTAGGCATTTTACAAGGGGCTTCTTAGCAACACATTATTATTAGGCTAAAATGAAGTACAGAGCAATTAAAGCATGGAGGCGAGGTTGTTAATGGGAAGATTGCACCCTCGGGAGCTCTGGGTCTTAGTGCAATCTTCCCTATCAACACCCTTGCGCTCCACGCTTACCTGGCTATTTCATTTAATTATATTAAGCCTATTATAATGCGATGCTCAAAAGCCTTCATAAAAAGCTTAAATACTAAAGCGCCTGGGTACGAGGCAGAACTGTATAAATTCCATTCATATGTCAGAAGTAAATTGGATCTAACTAATTAGTTTGTGTAATAAAGCGAATAGAGGTCATTTGGACACTCAAATCGTTCGAATAGCTGGTACAATTAAATCACTACAAGACGATGAAGAAGTTGTGAAATAACACATGAGATAATATTTCATTGACCAATCAAATTATATGTTTCATTATTTGAGCAATCTGATTGGTCAATAAAACAGCAAGTTAGGAACTTTTTAAGGAACTTTTCAAATTGTTGAGAAATTGTGCAGATGTGTTCCTTCAAGTTAGGAAATTAACTGCTCAACATTTTTCGGAACGGTTCGCACGACTGTAATGATAATAATATTGGCACGACTGTAATGATAATAAAAATTTTAAGCTAGTTGAACGCAGTTTATGAATTAACTGTCATGTTTCCACTTATGAATGAATACCGTCTAAACATTCCCAGCCCCATACAGAAGAACTTGCTACTAATATGAAATCCATCCACATCGATTATTCCGACAATATTTAGAGGGTTCATCATGTTATAACGAGGAAAGCCAACCTATACTAACCGCGAGTATTATCGTGCGGATGTTTTTGTTCAATGTATTATTAATATATGCATGATGTGGTGATAATAACACGCAATCGCTGTGTTAGGTTATTTCAGGACCAGGGTTGTCAGATTACTGAAAAAAGAAGCTAAATATTGTCATAATCAGCCCTTTGATTCCTATGTTTGAAACAAGGAAAACAACGATTATGGTAATAATATTTGGCTAATTTATTCAGTAATCTGGCAACCCTGTTTTAGACAGTACCGTATGTGCGTAGCTAATACGTAATCGAGCATACTGTCACGCACTATCCATACTTTCGTGACAAATCATCAAATGTCGTATAACAACTGTCTAAAATAGACAAAGCACTTCTCAACGTTACTAATGACGAAGGCCCTCAAGTCGAAACGTCGCGAAGTGTTTTGTCTAATTTAGCCAGTTGTTATACCACATTATTTTGATGCTAAGTTGTTTAAAGACGCTGCCACGCTGCTCCCTGGTTATATTGGAACAAACATTTTCGTGACATAGTCCACTTGTCGACAAGTGTCTAGTCTATTTTAGGCTGTCCCAACTGATCTGAGTATAAATATAAACCAATCAGAAACCAGATTCTCGACAAAATTTCCTTAACTTCCTAAGAGTTCGGAACTAGACAATTTTGAGTACTTCTATTCCTTCCATGCAGTGATGCAGAAACGCATTCGTTTTATAGTCGTTTGTGAATTAGTAGGAAGAACGCCTGACAAATCATTCCAGGCAATCGATAATTAAAGTTTGTTGCCAGGCCTTTTGACGTAATGATCTCATGCATATCAGCTGGTTGTTATGTATATATACCAAATCAATTCGGTAATTTGATATTATACGTGGCATTTGTGAAGTACAAAGCAGGTATAGCTGATCTGAAATGGCTTCTTTCGGGGACGGAAAATACTTTATCGAGAACGTCGAAACCAAACGCTACTTGTTCCAGGATGGTGAAAAGCTCAAAGGTGAACGTGGCAGCGAAGGTGGCTGGTTAGCGAGCTCTGGCTTTGAATCTCCAAAATGTGTCGGAGCTGACGCCAACTACTACAACAGAGCTTATTGGAAGTTTGTGCCTCAAGGCGAAGACAAGTACTTCATCGAGAATGTGGAAACCGAGCGCTATTTGTTCCAAGACGGACCGAAGATTGAGGGTGATCGTGGCAGCGAAGGTGGTTGGTTAGCAAGCTCCGGATTTGAATCGCCAAAATGTGTTGGTGCTGACGCTAACTACTACAACCGCGCTTACTGGAAACTGGAACCACAAGGCGATGGCAAATACTTCATTGTCAATGTTGAAACTCAACGTTATCTCTTCCAAGACGGTCCTGAAATCAAGGGTGAGCGTGGCAGCGAAGGTGGTTGGTTAGCAAATTCTGGGTTTGAATCTCCAAAATGTGTCGGAGCTGACGCCAATTACTACAACCGAGCTTATTGGAAGATCATTAGTCAATGAACTTCGTCTATAAACACATTTTAAACAAAATTAACATTAATATAGCGTGTTTATCTTGCCCATATTTTATACCTGTCATATGTTTTCATTTAATATGTTAATTAATAAATTGCCTATCGAAGCGATAAGTTTATTTTAAAAGTTATCATTAATTTTTGTCATTCTCTGCTCTTACGCTGGAATTATTAATAAAGTTTCTCCCACCTGAACTCGCACTTTTTGTGACACTCAATTGTAGTTTATACATAATTTAGTATATGAACAATTTTAGTCATCATATTTGGGTATGCATATACTGTAGGAAATAACACCTGTGATATATTAGCATTGGGAAACAAAATTGAAAATTTCCGGAGGGAAGCAAGTTATACTAGTATTCTTTAAAATAACGAGGATTATTATTTGCAAGTATGAATTAGAAAAATATTTGTGGTAAACGCAAAGCCAGAAGTCTCTAATGGTTGAAGAGGATGGCGTTAGTATTTTTCAAATTCGCCAATTTATTTGTCATGTTTTCTTGTGGTCACTAAACAAAACACTAAATGCGTTTGTCAGAAAGCTTATATTACATTACCAGCATATAGGAACCGTTTGTAAAAATACGTGACCTTTATGGGGTGGGAGGTTGTTTGAAAGAGTGTGATAGTGCGTAGGAAGCGTCACTGGTGGCGTCACACGACGCGAAGTGATGACAGAGTGGCATGATAATTAAAAAATTGCACAATAATTGTTCCTCTCATGCAAGTGCCAAAAAAAACAAATCGGACAAAGCTTTCTTAATTAAATACCGTGAAGAATGTTTGTGGCAAAAAAAGCCTTGAAAATACGGGGCTTTGATATGAAATAACTGCATATGAACCAGGAATTTTGCGCGTGTGTGGCTACTGTCAGTCTTTGCTGCATGGTATAGGGGTGTTATGTTCAGCGTCACCTAATCTTTGAGAGCTAGAGTATATCTAGGGGTTAAAAAAGACACGTATTTTGGAAACAGTCTCCATGCATATGTATTTATATTAATAGCTAGCGCGAAATTATCTCAATTAGGCAGATATTGCTTGAGGACCGGAAGGTCAATGACGACGTGAAGATGGCTAATAAATGGCGTGATATGGTATATCGAAGCTGATCTAAATATATGCCTCATCGCGAGTCAAGATTTATGCAATTTCTACAACTATACATTGTTATCGCTAATTTTGTATGAAAATCACTAAATTGTATTTGTGAAGGAAAAACTGCATAATTACTTACAGTCACTTCTCTACGATAACGTAGCTCAGTTTTCTTATTAAGAAATGACGGCCCTGTTTACACTACTGGCATAGCATGATCATGATTGCAATGTCAAATCTGGCCGTGTCAGAGGGAGTTTTACCCCGAAATATATGATGGCATGATAGTTTTAAATGATCAACGAAATGAAAGTGTTCTGGGGACAAAAAATACCGTAAAACATATTAAAGTGATGCCGAAACCATGTGAGACTGGTATAGTGTGAACAAAGCCGCAAATATGTAACATGTAAATATAGGATTGATTGCATGATATCATGCATGCATGGCCAGAAAATTCAAACATAATTAACATTCTACTTTCGCCCAAATTTGCATATAGCCAAGGTCAAAATAGAGATTCGTGATTTTATAGTAAACATGTAATGTTCACAGTACGAAACGCTAAAAATCCGGCCTTTTTGTAGGTCGATTGTAATTTTTCTTAAGCTCGTTGGGAGCAAGGTAATCTTGACGTTTTGAGGAAGAATTTTAAAATTTTTGATCAGTATTTCGATCATTATTTCTCCTGCATTTTTGAGCCAAAGTTTTAGTCATTTATCACGTTGAACCATGCATATAAAACGAACACCGTAATGCCGTAGAAAAAACTGAAAATTCAGAGCATGTCCGAAATTTGTGACCATGATAAGGGTAGGCAGACAGTAGGCTTGCATGATTTGGTATAATATTTTTAGATTTTTTAATTGCATGCGTGTGATGCAAAGCTATCGCATGTATAAATATTCATTATTATATAAATTATATAAATATTTATTATTATCATTAATAATAATAATGATAATACACGACAGGACGGTGCAGACTAGCTATGGCAAAAAAAAGAGATTTAAGTGGCTAATATAAATTATTACACATGCACCCGTTTTGAATCGCGTGCTGGAGAATATATATATACGTATAAATGAATGAGACCAAGTTAACGGTTGTGATTATAGCCTGGAATGCACGGCTATAATTCAACCAGGTTACCTTGCCGCAACATTCGTTTTCAAATACATATAAGAAGGCCTTGACCTGCTCTGATAGCAACTGTGCAGAATCTTACAGGCAAAGTTTAAAAGAGGTTAAAATTATTGATGAAGCGTACAAATACATAAAATCAACAGATTTCACACATCACAACCTGCATGGCACGAAACAAAGACGTAAGGTTTTGCAGTTATAAAACTGATATTCAACAGAAAAGGCATTGGTCTTCGGTTTTAAGTCATTAATTATACATGACTCAACAAAACAGGGCTCACACGTCAAAGGAATGCAATAAAGAATTGGGCATTAAAATGGATACATTACCCTCCATTAAGTCCATTTTGATATTATTATGTGGTATTATTTATAACAATTGCTGAGAATGCCTGAAAAGACTAATTCTCGACATTTCGACGCCCTTAGGGTCTTCGCCATGGGGGTTAACCCACGATGACGCACGCAAAATATAGGGTTAGCGATATGCACCTACTTTTTCAGCATTTTTAATTCTAGTATATACGTTGTTGTAATTGTATTTGTATAGTCAATTTAACATGTACGGAGTGCATGAGTGCAATTTTATACTGTTTTATACTCTCATATACTCTTCTATGTATCATATAATTATTCTTTCGTGACCTATAGTCCCACAATCGAGAAGTCTTTTGTTTACTGGTATGCAAAATTATGCTAGAAAGAACTGATTTGATAATTTGATATAAATGTGTGGCATATATACAATATATGCCCTGCAATTAAACGAATCACTGGGTTATTTGTGAAGCACAAGCACAAGGCAGGTATATAACTGTTCTGAAATGGCTTCTTTCGGCGATGGAAAATACTTAATCGAGAACGTCGAGACCAAACGCTACTTGTTCCAGGATGGTGAAAAGCTCAAGGGTGAACGTGGCAGCGAAGGTGGTTGGTTAGCGAGCTCTGGCTTTGAATCACCAAAATGTGTTGGAGCTGACGCCAACTACTACAACAGAGCTTATTGGAAGTTTGTGCCACAAGGCGAAGACAAGTACTTCATCGAGAATGTGGAAACCGAGCGCTATTTGTTCCAAGACGGACCGAAGATTAAGGGTAATCGTGGCAGCGAAGGTGGTTGGTTAGCAAGCTCCGGATTTGAATCGCCAAAATGTGTTGGTGCTGACGCTAATTACTACAACCGCGCTTACTGGAAGCTGGAACCACAAGGCGATGGCAAATACTTCATTGTCAATGTTGAAACTCAACGTTATCTCTTCCAAGACGGTCCTGAACTCAAGGGTGAGCGTGGCAGCGAAGGTGGTTGGTTAGCAAATTCTGGGTTTGAATCTCCAAAATGCGTCGGAGCTGACGCCAATTACTACAACCGAGCTTATTGGAAGATCATTAGTCAATGAACTTCGTCTATAAACACATTTAAACGAAATTAACATTAATATAGCGTGTTTTTTTGCCTGTTTTATTCCATTATTATGTTTTCATTTAAATAATAAAGCAGCCATTGAAGCGATAAAAGTCTCTTTTAAAAGTATTCATTAATTTTTGAACTTGTCTTAAGCCCGTTCTCCACTAGGTCTAGGAGTGAAAGTATAAAACGTAAAAACATTGCAACGACAGACTTCTAGCACTGTTTGCCGACTTCTAGATCGATAGATCAGACGTTTAGAAATGTTTTAAGAGGGTATTACGTGAACCGGGCTAGCCCGCTTTGCCGGGCTGAAATTTACCAAACGATTATGTGAGTAATTTTTGCTGGGCTTGAATTTAGCAAACAAAGAAAATTTATGCAGCCCGGTTTGCTCGGCTGAAACGATTACATGCGAACTTTCAGCCCGGCAAGACGGGCTAGCCCGGTTGACATAACCGGCAAGCCGGGCTGAAAGTTCGCATGTAATCGAAACGTCAAAAATTGCTTGCAAGAATTTTGGAAACGGGCTAGCCCGGCAAAGCGGCCATGTAATCTGCCGCTTAGTATCCGAATATTTCGCCTTTGCGTATTTCTGCATACCAAGAATTTTTTTTCAAGATATTGATTTTCGTACTCCTGACATAAATTTTTCTGTAAGGTTCGTTATTTTCTGGAGTCACTTTCAAAAATATTAATCTCATCAGGCAGTTGACGCATGTACGAAACCTATATACACATTTGAACACAATCATTTGGTCGTAGGAACACCCGGGGTAAGTAATTCGAGCATTAAAACGTTGCGATAATTATGCATCGTTGTTAACACTATTGATCCATGCAGAGGTCGGCAAACGGTGGAAAGTTCTAGAGCAACGACAAGTAAAAGCAAATAACCCCTACCTTTATAGGAAGTTTCTAACATGGTATACGCGGTAATTAAGACCTTTTTTGGCACGATTGAGAAGAGGTAAGGAAAACGTTTAACAAAAAACATTGATAATTGTAAAAAACATTGTAAATATAACATATATTTCTTTAACGCTATTCAAATGCAGTAGGTTGTTGATCAGTTGCATCACTTTTCAAGCAAAAAGTTCGATAAATGGTTCATGAGGCAGAGCTTGTCTTCTTGGGTAGAAGGTAACATCATTGGAATAGTTGAGAAGATTAGAGATTGATGATGAGTAGATGTCTGCAAAGCGAACCAGTCGTCGAGTGAAATAAGATGGATTGTGATATGTACGAAATACGCTTCCAAACTGCGGATTAAACATGTTCTTCAGCTCTTCTCTGCAACACAAAAATAAATAAGTTCAGGTTGACGACCCGTAAGAGTGGAACGGCCGCCTTTTAAATAATTGGGATAAATGATAAAACAAACACTGAAATAGAATTACAATATACAGGGTGTCCCAAAAATACCCCAAACCAGTGAAATCACCCATAACAATGTAATAGCTACAGTTTGAATGCCTAAACATCTTGTTGGGACCCACGAGTGTATAAATTAAAGTTTGATAGAAGCATTTTTATGCATAATGAATGAATGAAGGTAAAATTTGTTTGTGTACCCACATGTGACATTTATTACCAATATGCTTTACATAATATGGATAACCATGAACTTCGACATGTCCTTAATTCTTTTAAATTTCTGTTACGTTTATCCCCACGAGCAAAAATCCGCGAACACTAGTCATTCAAATTTTCACAATACTTGATTTGAATAGTTTTGGGGTTTTTTGGGACACCCTGGCCTGTAGAAAGACTGATTCCATATAAATTTGCCTACGCTGTTAATAGAATACGACTCTCTGAGGTGCTTAATTAGTTACGATTATGCATGCTTTTATTCAAATTATTATCCTATGAAAGTTTTTATAGTAAACATTTTTGCATGCCTAAAGACAAACAGGATATAATCTATTTATTGGTATCAAATTATAAAAATAGGTACGCGGGTGCGTACATGTTGCGAGCACTGAGTAGTGGTGTTGGATGTCTACAAAATTTTTAGTTTTTAGCGTGGAGAAGGAAGTGATTGGTTTTGTTCGGCATGGATTGGCTCAATTATGAGGGTTGGAAAAACGAAAGTTCTTTAATATTTTCTGACCACTGAGAATAGATGCGGAGGTATTTTATTATTTTTTACTGCTTTAGAGACGCCCATATTGCTTTATGATCACTGAAGTAACTCTCCAGAGTGCCTGCATGAATTCTTCCCTAAATTATGTCCGTATCAATCGATGTTCTGTTCTCGGTGGTGAAACTGGATATCAATTGTCTACATTGGTTTTATCTAATCATTAGATTATAAATTGACTGTGCAGTAGATTGCTGGGCTAAAAATATTAACTAAGTGTCATAATAACTAATAAGCCTATATGCTTGCCCATTGGCCAGTTTTACAATACGTTTGAAATTTGAATCACACCTCCACGACACCTCTGGCTGTGCTCTGTCGAGGTTTGGGGCTTTGGGCGTGGTACATGGTATCGTTGTGTAAAAATAAGTCTTACTACCATGCATATAACAATGATCTTCAGACTTGTTAAAGTCTTTTGAGATGGTTTTTGTCATGAGCGATATCAGAATTATGTAAAACCGTTTAAATGATTCACTCCTATATAATTAAAGTTCACCGTAAATAAAAACCTGCATTCACTTTGCTAGAAATATTTAAAAAACATTGTTTGCATGAATATTTGTATTATAGCTTGCATTGCTAACTTCCAATAAACTTTATGCATAATGACGTAAAACCTGCTGGGAAATCTGGTCATAGTATACAGTCGCGGCAAGAAATTTTGAAGTTTGAATTTTTCGCCGTGACTAGTAAAACCTGGCAGAATTCCCTGCACGTGTCACGGCTTAATACGTCATTATGCATTGTAGCAAATATGGAACATTTTGTTTACGAAGTAGGAAATGCTCGAAAATATCCTCGACAATTTGTTGACCTAGAGACACACGTTTACTGTAAAAGCATTTTGGCAGCCTTTGATAAACTCAGCTGTGTTATGTTTTTATTTAATTTCTATTTTACCCCTATTTTGAAAACTATCAACCAGAGCAATAAATTATTTCCGTTACAGTATCGAGTTAAATCAATTAAATCGAGAAATAAGGTCTAATATGGGAAAGTGGAGTGAAATCCATTACTTTAAAAGGAGTCTTGGGATGAGTAAAAACTGCAAAATTCAGGTGGGAAACAAATGTAAAAAAATGTCATAACCCTGCAAAATTAGCAACCTTACTGTCGCTGTAAATTACACGTGTATGACGTAGACCGGAAATGGATATGAACATGAACATGAACATGAACATGAACATGAACATGAACATGAACATGAACATGAACATGAACATGAACATGAACATGAACATGAACATGAACATGAACATGAACATGAACATGAACATGAACATGAACATGAACATGAACATGAACATGAACATGAACATGAACATGAACATGAACATGAACATGAATGAACATGAACATGAACATGAACATGAACATGAACATGAACATGAACATGAACATGAACATGAACATGAACATGAACATGAACATGAACATGAACGGCATGGACATAGACAAGGACAAGAGAGGATAGGACAGAATAGGAAAGGACAGGACAGGCCGAGAAAGACTTCAATTATATGAAAGTTGGAAGCCTTTACGCTTGATGAAGTGAAGATTGAATTTACCTTAACATATAGCGTTCTCTTTTCCATTCTCTTAGCAACTCATATGCTTCATCAGAGTTGTCACTCTATGAAAAAATATGATAATTTTCTTTATTTTCTTTGTAATATTTTTATATTCTCCTGGCGAATGAAGTCAAATGCAGTGGGGATGCATGTTTTAACCCAGTAATCACGGTCAGTTGTTTTCACTTTTCTATGAACAATCAAAATCAAGGGTATCCTATAGTTTTTGAAGCGTCGTTAGGCGTTTTCAAATTAACAATTTTATTGTATGATCCCCGAGCCGGTGCGAAGCACCGGGCGAGGGTACTAATTCCGCCCGGAGGTTTTAATTACGCCCGGGAATGCAAATGCGAAATGAAAGTTGTCCGCCATTATGTCATGGACGTTGGGCGTTTTTGTTAGTTATGCGCATGCGTGAGTTTAAGACGAGTTAAAACTGGTAACTAGCAAACGTTTACAAACGTGCGATTGGTTAAATTAAAATTTGGGATCACGTCAGCATAACTGATATTTTGAATTTAAAACAATAATATTTTTCATTTGAATGTTCTTAAAAATATACGAAAAATTGACTCGTAAAATTGAATAAAATATAATGTGAAAGATGCCTTCGGATAGGAAAACTTTCATTCGAATGGATGGTAAAAAAACTACGATTTTGAAGCATTTTTAAAGTATTTTTGAACAGGTAAATGGGTAGATTATAAGTATTTTGTAAGTTTAATATGTGGATTTATCAACAAATGTTTGACACCTCTTTGAATTTATTCGTCATGATTTGGAAAGTATTTATTTTTAGTCTGTTTAAAAAGTTATTGAAATTTCGCTAAAAATTGTAGTATTTAAAACTATTCGTAGCACAATTATGATTATAGTCGAATTTGATAGCTCAAGAGTCGACTTTATAATTGTACCAAGATATAGCATTTTACTTTACGACTTCGATCATTCAGCAGAAACGACTATTGTAGAATGATTTCAGCGATGGAAATATATGCTTATTGCTTCAGGCGAGGGGACTTTGCATGCAATGTATTTCTAGTTATAATTTTATTGGGGATGATAAACACAGAACTTAAGATCAATTAAACATTATTTACCTGAAGCGCTTCAATTAACTGTTGCAGAGATAATAACCAAGTTACTGAACGTCGAAACTCTTCTGTGTTTGATATCTTAATCTCTTTCTAAATGATAGGATTTTTACAAAAGGACATGAATGTGGTTCTGATCACTGGTATTCCACAGGTAGAAGCAGAGGGGGAATTTCGTTTTAGACCAATCAGCAAGTTTGTTTACATCTTCCGTGACTAAATCAGAATGAATTTTGCATGAAGTATTATAAATTTGGGCATTCTGATGTGCTTTACCAGAAAAATGTAAACAAGTATGCCGATTAGTTTAAAACGAAATTCCCCATTAACATATAGATGTAATGAAAATATTTATACTTTGAAAATCTGCATAGATTTGTAGATATTTTCCGAAATTAGCTGTGTCACTGGGATTGTTTCGATCCAGATAGCTTAATGAAAAAAGAGTTTCGCTCCTGTGCAGACTGTCCAGAAAAAACCTAACGAATACGGCGGTTGAACCGATGTCAGGCCCACGTCGAACCGCAGTGAGACCGTCTAACTCGGTCTGACAGACATTCTTCAAGTTGTTTTCGATTTGTTTTCTCAGAGGTTCATAACATTCCGTTTCGAAGCGAACGGCATCCGCGATCGTTTATTTCTCCTTGCGTTCGTCTGCGGTTTCAATCGGTCAAAAGCAACCGCAGTGTTAGGTTATTTGTGGACAGTCAATGTATTTCTAATTGGGGAATAAAAAATAGTTTAAAATCCAGAAATTAATAGGACGAAGCTATGTGACGAATTTCGATTAGGCTGTGCATAACTTCGAGGTTCAATCTCACAGTACCAGTCAAGAGTAGCATTGGATTGTTCAAAAATAAGCAGGATTAATATTAGGAGTACCTCAAGATCATGAATAATTGCCCCAGTTCGCCATCCATGTTTTAATATCGGTCCCTGATAGAAAAAATCTGAATCATCTTCGGCTGTATGCTTACACCAATGATATTTTTTAGGTACCGTACATCCAAAAACGAAACGAAGAAAACAGATTTTTTATTAAAGATATTCCTACCATTAAGTCGCTGTAGACATGGTCACCAAAATAAAGAACCTTTGGTCCATACCAACCGGTAAATTTCATGAATTGCTCAACGTTTCCCTAAAAAGAATATATAGTTACGTATACATTGGAGTGGCATCCCACAGTATTGCCCCTGCATAAATTGATTAAATGCAAGATATAATAGCATTTTGATACAACTATCAATGAAAAGGAGATAATTTATATGAACCGTGCATAACTATTCCAATATTACCTCGGTATAAAGTTCGCCTCCGTGAAAATGAGAAACTCTTTCCCAGGTTTTTCTGCCTTTACTGTCTAGAGATCGGAATGGCCTGGAAACGGTTGATTACTTTTCTTAATAATGTCATGATAAAATTACTGCATGCTGATTGGTCGGCACTCCTTAGTACAGTTATTTAATATGTAAACATTAGTGTTATATAGCTATAAAGTTTTTGGCCACTAAGAAAAATCGCATTTAAACACACGTAAAAATATAAAGTACTGTGTAGAGATAACCTAACACTGCGGTCGCGGTTCGGTTGCGGTCGACCGATGGAAACCGCAGACGACCGCAAGAGGAAAAATACGATAGCGGTTGCCGTTCGCTTTCGAACGGAATGTTATGAACAGCTGAGCGACAACACAATAATAATATCGAAAAAAATCTTAAGAAATGTCTGTCAGACCGAGTTAGGCCGAGGTTAAACCTTCTGAAACCTTGTTAAACCAGGCTGAAAAGTCTAATCATTTCAACAACATAATTTTATTCAACCAACCTGTCAGTCCGTAAATAAAATGACGGTTTCCTGGCACTTGTGATGACTACATCAAAAAGCTCCATCCATGTTTCTCCTAACATGTGGATCATACCTTTGTTTCTGTTGGAAAGACTGTATTTGTTAATATTCGTACATGACAATAATATTAACTTAAAACACATAAACTCCAGCTCATTAACATTAGGTTCGGAACATGAAATGTTCGTCGTCTGGAACAAGCTTAAGACCCCGAAATTTTAAGGATGCATGGGACAAATGTTCTGTTTGTCTTATGAGCGTAATTCCTATTCAACCCTGCAGCTATTAAGGACTATAAGTATATACTATCCTCAATATATAACATACTATCCTCAATATATATGGTACATTCTGCAGACATATGATAATATGAGTCAATGTTTCATTTCATGCGAACAACAGATGCGACTGTTTGAAGTTTGTAGAAGTGGGCCTGTCATCGGTAAAATATTGGCAAGCAAGTGTTTTCGTCCATGCATCCGAGTGGTCAACACCCAACAGTGTTAGTGAGAGGCATTTTGTAATATTTACGAACAGGGCCTTGTTGGTGTTCAAAGTTGCGCTAATTTAGGCCTTACATTTAATCTGTAATATAGAATAATTAATAAGTCTTTCATACATTTATCTCTATTCTTGTAAATATTGTACTATTTTCAATTTTCTTTGTATTATTCACACGCCCCTCCTGGAAATCAACTAATATTAAAGTTGAGTGGGGCTAGCGTGTTTTAAGTACTGAAAGTGATGATGATGATGATCAATCTATAATTTTCTAGTTAGTTCGTGTAAACTTGTACTACTTCTTTTTAGGGCCGTATACTATAGACCGTAGGAACCGATATTCAGGATATAAAATGATGCTGACGATCGTGTAATCACCAGGGGCCGGTTGTATGAAAGCCGGATAGCGCTATCCATCGGATAGTGGTTTTTTCAATCGCTTTTAAATCACCTGTTGTTACGTATAACTTTGATTAAATCTTAGTATTCCTATAAGTCGAGGATCCTCTTTAATAATATTTAGTTCTAAAGCTGAGATTTTATAGCTTTTCAAGCATTTTTAGAACGGTTGAAAAAATCACTATCTGGTGGGTAGCGCTATCCGGCTTTCATACAACCGGCCCCTGGACAATAGCATTTGCTTGTTTGGATTCATAAAGACTAACTTCGCGGATACCTCAAAGTCATCTCGCGCTTCGCTGAATCTCGGCTAAGTTAAGGGTGTCATGTAAAACTCGCGCACACGTGAGCTAATGCTGCATGCGAGGTTAAGACCACGCGTGGCTGTTAGCTCAACAAGTTACTCTGGTGTGCGGATAGCTTTTCGTGAGGAATTCGCCTCGAGAGGCAACTTTCTCACGTGTGCGGATGGTTTACGGGCTGAGCTAACTGCGTCGCGAGGTCGTTAGCTCCGCTTATAGCTCTCGCGTGCGCGGGCTTAATTAAATAGTCCATATAGACCAGACTTTTCACAGAAAAAACGGGTTCAAACGTGATCAGCTATCTGGCGTCGCGTAGCTTAAATTTCCGATTGCCAAAATACACTACATGTTTCGGATTAATTGAGATTTGAAGTCTTAGCTTACACAAAGTTGAAGTCGCTGTTCGTTATAAGGAACGTCTGTTTACCACTTTCTAGTAAACTTTGTAAGAATTCTTGTAATTCTCGGTTGGGATGAAGGTACTGACCTGTAAATAAATTTGATGTCATTTATTTAACCTACGATGGATATATTTTATGAACAGTTAGCTATGATTGATGCAGTATGTACAGTTAACGTTCAGTGAAAAATAATTATGATACATGATGAAATTTATATTTATTGGTGGACATCTTTTGTACCGATGTCCTTCTCGACAGTGGAACCAATTTGTCCTGATCTATGAACCTTCCTCACAGTTTCCTAAACAGAAAAATTAAATGCAAAAATTATAGAATAGTAATATAATTTTGATGATACCTAGACTTCACAATAGTTTAATTATTGAACTTGACATTTCTGCGACTGTAGGATTTTTTGTATTTTTAAAATATATGCTAAGCGTTTATTCGGTAGGACTAGGTCAAACGTCGTTCTTCTCATGTGCCGAACCTTGTGCATATGAGCTGAAAAAAGACTTTAATTAATGCTACATTTGCATTAGATTCGGTGCACGAAAAGAGCGACGTTTGACCTAGGCCTCATATAGCTTATAATGAATACTGCACCTGGCAATCTCGAAAGACATAAGCTGGATCATATTCTATGTTCTTCTGTGCAAAATACTGAAAAAGTGGAATTTTATATATTTACCAGCTATTCAGTCTTCTATATAGCACTGTATGTGATAAGATTATTTTAGTAGATGATATTTTTCATTATGATTGTGAATGAGTATGAATTACGTAATGATTATGAGTATTATAATGTAAAATCACTGATAACTAGATTAGGAAACGACCCTACTTTCTCGCGGCAAATTTTTTGCAGACCTATAAATTCGCCCAGTGGAAAACGGACCTAATGCACTATGTGTATGTAACTGTTACACCAGCACAATCCAGATTGTGAGGTACATCATCATGGTGAATGGTTTAATAAACACTTACGTTTGAGTGGTATGTGTACCACATGTAATAATTATTTAAACTATGAACTATGATGGTGCTCAAATATTCTGGCCGGACTGGGATCTGGGGTTTGAAGTTTAGAGTCAGAAAGGCAAGACAATCCCTATTGAATTAGCTGATTAAAAATACATATATGTCAATGTCGCGCGTGGTTGTAGGGAGCTTGCATGGGTCCCTCATCTCGAAACCTGGCTGGTGATTATGGAATGTTTGTCAGCAACATATCAAGTTACGCCAATATTAACGGAACTTCAGATATTTGCTAGGTTTACATTCGTAGTTTGCTGCCTTATTTCGGCTATAATTTTATCAAAATGTCCTGTGATTTGAAACTCAAAGATTTAGTTGACATATCTAAAATCTATGCACCAGAGTTTAATATGCCTGAACTACACGACCGTGTACTCGTGTTTGATGTTATGCAAGATGGCTGGCAAACCAAGGAATATCTTAATCCGGTGAAAACCAAAAATGGCATCGATTCAGCGGAGAATGTGGAACAGAATTCCGATGAGAACCCAAAGACTGCTTCAAACGAAGTTCCTCAAGATACTCAATCAGGAAGTGTTTCTGAGCAAGATCTTATTACCGTGCACGACAGTGAAGCGCGTGATCATGGCCAACTGGCTCAAGGTTCACTGAGTGTCTCTGTTGAACATTCAGAGTTGGCTCAGAAAGGAATCATGCGACAACATAAGATATATGTTCATAGTTCCTGGCTTGCTGTACAGAGCAAATATTTTCGCTCTCTTTTCTATTCAGGTACGTGCAATAATGAATTAGTTTACTGCAATCAGTTTAGAGATTTGTGTTTATAGTAACTATTGTGTTTAAATTTAAATCTACCTGCATGACTCGTATGTGACTGTGAAATTTGTACATATATAGTTATCTTATGAAACACTTCAGCTTTGGCACTGAAGCGACTATACAATAGTCATGCATCATTTTCGCATTGTAGAACAATGCCATTGTGCGATGTATGACGAAAATATAATAGTCGTTTTCTTTTTTACTTATGGAGAGTAATGGCGTCATGCATGCCTTGCGTGTAATAGAACTGTAGTTTGGAATTTCGAGATGACAGATACCAAGCATTAATGCCGTTATTTTAATACAATAAGATATTAAATTTATTTGGTTTTAAAATGCCCTTAATTTAGTATCATACTTCCCAGCGGATATTAGTTCTGATTAGCTAAATGCGTGCATCACATGAAATTTCATTGTGTTGAACTGTTTGATTGTGGATGCATGTTCAGTCTTTGAACATAATGGTAATATTGAGGTTAGCTTTGGGGAGCTAGAAAGTATACTATATGTTACTAGTTAGTTAGCTTATTATTAAACACAGAAGTTACAAGTTTTTGATGAATACCAAAATTTGAGGCGGAATGACGATGGGTGCATGTCTTTTATACATTCATACCTTACACGATACAGTTTCTAAAAATGTGAGATTTTTTTCTTATATTCGAATATATAATAGTTAAATGTTATTCACATGCAATAATATGAAGGAAATTATTCAGAAATTTTATCTATTGTGTTTAAGCAATCTAGTAGATCGGTTACCATAGTTATACAGAAAAAATAATAATATTGGCTTTATCACAACCAGAATGGAGCTTTCAAAGACTAACTATATAACGATCGTCGTATCGCTGCCAAACAAATATGTTTTTAGGTTTAGTAGCAGCTTATAGTGCAAACTAGAGCTCATTTGAAACATGGCACAGGAAGGAAAGTTTTTGTTAATGAACGTAGCCCCAAAGAATACTATAACATAATATTACTGCATGCATGATGCAAACATTTGGTTGTATCAAGTTTTTACGGCACATTTTGAACGCGTTGTTGCAGTTCATAAACAATAGATTTTAAGATGTTGGTGAAACTTATTATTGAGATTGTTATATAATGAGATTATATAATTATTATCTTCTCGTTAACTGTGGACGACAATTATATAGTAATCCTTATATTTGATGTAATTCATTGCCTGGATCAATGCCTCATTTACGCATATCGCATATTTCTATTATATATCTGTTCAGGTATGAAAGAATCAAGCGGCAAAGAAGTGCATATTAAAGTCAACGAGTCTGAGGAAACAACTCACTTGAAGTTGCTTGAAGCCATTTATAAATCAGATACACTTAATAAAGCCACCGAAGAGGAACTGTTAGCTGTAATGGAGTTGGCTGATAAGTATGATGTGAAATTTGTGTTTAAGAAATGCAAATATGTTCTGCGAACCCGCGTAACCACAGTTGATATTTGCAAGCAGGTTATGCACGTTATTAGAGAAAAGCACAATTTTGAAGATGTCGAAGATTTGATTTCATCTATGCTGGTAACAATGGGTGAAAATTTTACTCCTATAGAAAACCATTGGCAAACAGAAAAATTCACGAGTCAATCTCAAACATTTGTGCAATATCTTTTAACAAGCACTGATCTTATGACTGCCTCTGAAAATACAGTCTTTCAAGCTCTTATGCACTGGATGGAAGTAAACAACGTTGACCCAACGACTCTTGAAAAAGATTCTGGTTTACTAAAGTCAGTTCGGTTTGAGGAAATAACGGTCGATTATTTGTATAATGTGGTCCGGAATCATCCAATAGCAAGTAAAATGCCTGGTTTTCAATATATGATGTATCAAGGTATGACGTATCATGCTTTATCCCCAGGACACAGGGAAATAATAAGCGAAGTAACGCCTAGAGAGCGAAAGAAATTTGGAAGTGGAATTTCTCAACACACTTTGACCATTTCTAAAAGGCAACTGCTGGATTCGAAGTCTATCGAGTCGAAACAGTTTTGGATCTGTGGATATAAAGCAAACATTCGTGTTGAGCTGAATTCAGAAAGTTCGTCAAAATACTATTGTGGAATACACTTGTCTGTTTTGGGACTAAAAGACACAAGTCATGTGACCCTGAATTTTCAAATAACGGGACATTTTGGAGCTTTTAAACGCACAGCCACTTTCACCAGCAAGTACAGGACAACTACTGAGTGCATTTCGATCAAGGAGGGAACTATGATGAAAACCAACAACATTTCCATCCTAGTCGAAGAACACTAAGGCAAAAAAAAACAATACGCAGCAAGAAGTCCGCAAGGAAAACGGACATAAAAAGATAATAATACAAGTATACATATGATATTAATATTCTAAGGCAATACTAGATTGAAAAAAATATCAGCAAAATATGAAACCGCAGTTAACGTTTTTCAGAATATGCGCATTGTAAGGAAGGCTGAGTATTATCGAGTATACAGTTCGCCTACAACGCCTGTATACCTATAGCATGTTTTCTCGCAAGATTTTGAAGAATATAAAATTAAATTCAAACTTAATTAAATTCATGAGCATGCGACAGAACACTTAAATTGTTTAAAAGAAGTGCAGTTCACTGGTCATACCTCAAAAACATTTGCCATAAGAGTTGCTTCACTATTCGCAAACAAATCTATCATATGCCTCATCCTTGGCCGATCCTAAGAGACAATTAAAAATTATTTAAACATCGTAAAGTTCGAATAATTTATAGAAAACGAAATGCAAATTGATACAAATGTAAAAATTGCGTATTTTCTCCCAGAACCGCCCAGAGAATTTTGGGCCTAGAGAATTTTTTTCAACTCTCGTTAGGGGCCCAAAGTCCACAGAAAAAAAGCACGTCATAGCTATTTCATGTAAACTTGTACTATTAATTGTAATGCGGATAATGCATTCGCCTGAAGCTTGAGAGGTGAAACAAAGGTACGTTTTTGTACAGTTTAGGGAATCTATGATTCATATGTAGCTCGCGGGTAAATTGAATCCGGCGTCGCTATATAATTATACAAAACTTTACATTATTATCTCTTGTTGGGATTATTTGATCATTTCCAATGTGTGTTCCTCTATAATATCGATGAATGTCTTCTTCACTAATTTGCTGATAACCTCTAGAAAGATTAAATAGGCATATAGGCGAACTCAACCTAGAAACGGACCGTGCATTGTTACTTTATTATAATGAAATAATGTATTAATATGTCATTGTAATTATATTTATTATTCCTCATTGTCTTAAACGTTAGTAAAACTTTTGTACTACATGTGCTAGCCACTTCCACTCCACCAGGATTCGGCAGTTTCGATTGCCCAAAAATGCTAAAGCTGCAGCCTGGAATATTCTATTTAAATCTCATCCAAACATGTAGCTTTAGAGACAGTTATTTCGTTTATACTCTTTGTAACACAACAAATGTCCAATATAAGCCTGTACACTATAGAAATATTTACAGCGCGGAATATAAACCCCTTATGTTGAGGAATGGTGTTATGGAAGTTATTTTTTCAGCACGTGTGGGAGTAAAACCAGTAAAATATTCTACCCGACTTCTACCTGACATTTTTTTCCAATAAACATGTTATAACTATGTGCCTTCCTTATTTGGAACTACTCGGAATGCTAAGAAAACGATAGCAAATTGTATTTGTCAAATTGTTCAAGAGTTAATTGTATTGCAAGGAACCCGCATGATGTAAAACTGCGTTAAGATGGTGAGCTGACAGACGCGAAAACCTTTTTGAAAAACATTATCAGTACAGTATTATTAAACCTGTAAGCCGTTCCTGGCATGATATTTTGATAGGAATCGATCTTCATCATAATCCCCTGAAACGAAAACTCAGCATCAGTAATTTAAATGCACACATGGACATGGGTCTTACTGTCGGCGAAGGGGTTATATTGATCGCCTGCTGGTGGTAATGTGGCAACCCAGGATTGGTACGTTTAACAATAAAATACCATATCCCTATCATAAGGCATAACCGACTCCAAAAGCAGTAAAAATTTCGACTGTGTAATTAACATGCTTGCAGCCTGGAATTTTGATAATTAGCTACACAATATTTAGCGAGATTAGCAATGTAATGCATAATAGAATTAGAATATTTTTAAATGAGTCTAGATATGACGTGCTTCGTATAATGAATAAACCTCTCGTATACTGTAGTCAGGACAAAGGCTGTCTGGGTTATTTTCATAGATTGCTTTTCACGCTTATATTTGAACACGGAAATAAGAATATATTTGCTATTATTATTAAGCTTTTAGCTACGGCCTTGGCTGTGGTCGTTTTAAGTTGCCAAACTGATATCGCGGAAGGCTATATACAGGGGCGTAACTGTTGGGGGGGTGTGGGGGGGTGTGACACCCCCCAATTGTTGAAAACAGTGTTTTGGTAGGGCAATTTGTTGGGAATTTGCAGGGCAGACCGCTGGGTTCAGGCTGGACAATTTTTGCCCAAATTGATAAAAAAAAACCATATGAATACTAAACAAACTAACGAAACTTTAAATTTACATGCAGCTATAAGAATTGTAAGTTAGTAAAATCGATCCAAATAGGGGTTCGCTGGTTAGAGAGACTGCAAATGCGCAGAACTTGAGATTTTTCAGTTAACTTAATTTGCAGGAGATATCGCTTCTTGAAAATCAGTTCGGGTGCGGGAAGTCTTGAAAATTAGGCGTGGGTGCGACTTACAATTCGAGAGAAAGTTGCCAGTCTGAGAAGGGCATTTCCGACGATCTAGAGGACGGAATTTTCGAAAATCTTTCTCTCAGCGCCAACCATGGTGGCGCCTCGTAGATTTCAATAATTTCCGAAATATATATCAAAATCTCGCTTTCAGTTTTATGCAGCCGGGTTTGCGTAATAAATATATAACTGTCTCACAGCCTATCAAAAAGAGCTATAATTGCATTTGGTTGCCACACCCTTTTCCGCGTATTTGTTGCAGGTCACGCCCTTTGGTAGGGCAAATTTGCTTCACACCCCCCCAACGCTTAGGGTGAAGTTACGCCCCTGGCTATATACGAAATTTGACGTCACTTGCAAAGACCAATATTCGGATTTCAGAAAAACCCTATTCAATTAAAGGTTCTACAATATAGCTACCTTGTTAATGTCGATATGTAATCCTCGTATCACAAATTCAGGATCGTACGTCATCGTTCGTAACTCCTCAGGATACTATAATTGTAAAAGAAAATATATTGGTATTTTGACGTCCCAGAAACTTCCCGGAGTTGATGAAACATTGTAACGATGATAGTTGCATCTCATGTTGCTAATAATTATAAGGGACGAGAAAACACTCAGGAAGTACTGTAAATAAATGCAATCGCTCCCCGGTCAATGTTTAAAATGATGCTATATTTAAGTCCTGGCAGGGGGGATGATTCTTCTATTTACGGTACTTGCTTGTACGAATCACAATTACACACAAAGCAATGGTTGCCGTTCTGATGGGTATTCTAATGGGTATTCTGTGAAGGTGGGTTCAACCCTCTTTCTTTAGATTTTATGTCAAGTTGAGAGGACTCAGCCCTCTCCCTTCACTATTCTTCAAGAATCAAGATGCCTTCAATGACATTGATATTCTATCCTTTCATCACTCCTATGTATTCTTACCCGTTAAAAATCAGACATTTAGATTTTAGACATAGCTACCCTTGCCCTTGAATACCTTTTCCCCATACTTACACTGTACTCATTGATCAGTTTTTCTAATGACATCTGATATATCAAATTGTTCAATTCATTGGTATAGTGAGCTAAAGTGTAGTCATAGTCAAATCCGTATACAGCAATATCTCGAAGACTCAGTTCGTTGTTTGCAAACACAGATTTCTCGTGGATCATTTTGTAATACATGGTTTCTAAAATACATTTCGATTCAGAATTATTAAACGCGACAGCATGTTCGAGCATATATAACCTCATATGTAGTGTACAACAACTGTGGAAAATGCACAAGGACTCATAGAAGATATGTGCGCTCCAAGACATGGGCTCTTGTAATCATTTTCCTGATGGCGGATCTTTCATCATTGCTCTCATTAAGATGTCGATATTTTTAATACAGGCTTCGTCCAGTTTTCGGACAATTTTTTTTGTTTTTCTTCGCCTTTAAATATCGCTCGATAGTTCAAAATTTTAAGATTTGTTGCCATGTTTGTTTCGAAACTTATGTTAAGAGAAAATGCGCACAGCTTCGTTATTTTTCTTGCGATTGTTGAAATTCATCATTAATTTTGACGTCGGGTTTTCGGACAGCTCGGATTACATTATTGCTTGTTTAACAGCACGTCGGTGTCCGAATAATGGACGAGATATACATTATAGGCATGAAGATTCAAAATCTCACTACATCGTAAATATGCGAAGAGTCGAACTTTTTTACCTGAAACAAAAAGGTTTTTTAACTCCTTTTCATGTAAAAATCATTATATTTTGTGACCGGGCTCCTAAGAAATTAGTTCTTGAAGTGCCCATACAAATTTTTCGCGCGGCAAACTACCCAATTTTGAAAGAAAAATTGACCTACCTTCGTTAAAAATGCATAACTCTAGCAAGGCAAGTAAAAAAACGCGTGAAATCGCAGAAAACATTAATCGCAACATGAAAAAAATGAACATATTGTTTGAACTTTCCTTTTGTTTAAAAAAGAAAATTTAGCAATGAAACTCAGCTGTCCGAATATAGGTATTTAATACCCGAAAACTGGACGACATACTGTACGAGTTCAATTTTGTAAACAGTAAAAATGTAAAATAATGTCGGGCATTTAATTTAAAGAATAAACATATACTACTCAACTAACACCATTATTGCAATAGGCTTGTTGAAAACATGATAAAACATATTAACAAAAAATAAATTTTGCCTATACTAGTTTAATAAATGGTCATGCATTTTAAAAACGAAAATTTCGACGTTTTAAAAAAGCATCGAGGAGACCCACCGTTTAGACTGGCATGTTTTCTTGACTTGTAAATGTCTTTTAATTTGCTTGCTGAGACTTCTTCCGGCCAATTTGACGAGATATAGTGCCTTTTTGAAGTTTGCTCCAAAAAATAAGAACGCTTTGTTCCATTTTGAACAGTTTTCCATGTTGTGAAAAGAGTTGAACAGCGGCGATTGAAAACTCCCGCCATTGTGTCAAAAAAGCTCTCAAATATGTCGATGCTCGGTGGCGGTCGGTCCACTGTCGGACAATCATCGGAAATTTTTTTCTCTTTTTCTTTAATCTCGACCGCCAAACTGGAGAGTTTTTAAATAAAATTTTTCTATTCTATTTATCACAAAACTGGGAAATTAATACTTTTTGACTTAAGATGGCTTGGTAGGCATATATTATGCAGGGTATAATTTTTTCCCCTAAAACGTATTAGTGACTGGCGACAACAATTTATACCAGTGACCAGCGGCAATTGGAAGGAATATGCAGTAATTTCCGAAAATGAATAAAACTTGCATGCCTAGGGATATGTAATTTGTCGAAAACACCAGAAGTGCCACGCGTTTTCATAATTGCCATTAACACCGGCGGTGTGCAAGGGAATTGAATGAAGGACAAAGCTAAACTGTCGAACGTTGTGGTTTTGTCAACCAGTTTCGGTTCGGCAGAGACCAAGATAACTGATTACGCATACAAGTCGGAATTTCAGATCTGTGAGCAAAAAGAACGTGAAAGATTGGTTTGCGTAAGTCGAAACAGATCATTCGATGAAGTCTGGCAAACGGCATCATATGTAATTATTTAGCTTTAGCGCCACATATCAGATCTCCATAACACGTTGTGGCCTTTCTTATAGCCAAGTTGCGATAACGTTTACAGTAAAAAGCCCGTTTTCCACTAGGCGAATTCGTTCGCGCAACGCGAAAACCGAAGTGGCAAGACATCGTAACTAATCAGCTAAAATAATCGTTGCAAAAGCATTTCCGCTAACCAATCATGTTGCAAACGTTTTAGTTCGCGCGAATAAATTCTGCCAGTGGAAAACAGGCTCAATAACGCCGGGGGTGTAGTAATTATATGCGGCATGTTCTAAACCCCAAAAACCAGAAGGCAAAATTAGAATACATCAAACAATAAACTAAATTCAAGTTATAAATTCTTTCTTTAACTACAAAAAAATTCGTCCAAAACTCAAATATAAACATAGCCTTCAAAGTACGTCATAACGTCCGCCAATATTGGTGCAAATTTGATACACATACAGTATATCCCTTATGTCCAGGAATTTACATATTATATGAAATGCACACCAATATGGCCGCTCTGACATCACGTGAAGACCATCTATAGCAGACAGTTGCTATCCCCGAAAAAATTTCCGATATTCGTTTATACTCAAAAATCTAAAAAAATGTTACTATATTGAAGTAGTCCTTAATTTCCATCTAACCTCAGATATGTACCTTTTTATATATTGCACATTATTCTCGACCATTCTTCAAGTCTCTAATCTTTGTCCTTATCTTTGTCTTTATCTTTGCTCTTCTTGCTAGACTTCGTAGACGGGGGGTTGGGCTGACCAAGTTCAGCACGACGGAGACGTTTCTTCATTTCCAGAGGCATCTTCTCGTAACATTTCCTGCACAGTGGTTTCATGTCCAACTCGTGGAATTTACTCCTAGAAAAGAGATAAAGTCACAAGAGATAAGTATATATTACTATACATAACATAATTAATTAACCGGGTAGTGTCGCAACTCCTCGCAAGAATGATTTTCATTGGCTGAACTTTACAATACATTTCTAGCTGTTTCAACTAATAGCATAGCTTCGTTCTTTAGGAAGCATAGAAAAGCATTATTCAATTGGACGAAAGCTTCCGAGAGCTGCGACATGTCCCAATTAACAAGGAAATTCGGTAAAAACGTCGAAATTCGTACTCACGCATAAATATTGATCAGGTTACATAAATAATGTGCGTTTTTAGCCATGCATAGGTAACTGTCCAAGCAGCTAAATATAGCATATTGTACCTCAATGTAAGCTGAGTATCGCAACCAAAGCAAGTGAAGTGATTGTCACACCAGAACTTCTCCAAGGCATTAACAGCTGTGATGGAAATATTAAAAATGGTACCGGTATGTTAAAAGGCCAAAGACTAAACTCGCGGTGAAATTATATTCAAGTTCTACAGTACATGCAGATTTATCGAAGTTGTATTCCAATGCAGTAACATAGTTACAATCAAAAAACCACGAAGCTTTTCCTTAAATTTTTGGGCTTTGTGAGACAAATCCTGGTTCTTCAACCAGGAATTTTCTTGTGAACAATTAACCTCTGCATAAGGAGCTTATTCATAAACATAGCGGGAAATGTTTAGGTACTGTACATTCTTATTTGGTCTCTTGTATATACCAGATGCGATACAATTTTAGTTTAAAAAACTAAATTTAGGATTAGATAAAAACAGTAGTAAATGCATTACGTACCTTCGCCACCTATAATTCCATGATTACATTTGAAGCAGACTTCTCCAAACAACTATAAAAGTGCATGTAAACAAAAATATAAATACATGTCCTACTACATACATTACATCATCAAAGAGTTTTCACGTCAAGTATGTAGATTATACCTCATTATAATGGATCTCACAATATGGCAGCCCATTCTTCTCGTAGTGAAGATGCCCATAGAAAGGTTTCTCACACTTGGCACACACAAAATGCTACTCGAGAAAAGCACGAAAGAATGTTGATGAAACATCGTAAGCGTAAAGGGATAGTTTGGGTTTCAATTGTGCATTTCTTGCGGACAACACATCATGTATGTTTCCGAAATTATCGTGATTGATTACCTCAACATGCCATTGTTTGCCAAGCGCATTCACAACCCGTTCTTCAATTGGACGCCTGAAAAAAAATGAAATAAAGTATACATACGTGTATGATATACATACGTGAAATTTCAAACTCGACTCCGAAATGCGATACGAAGTATGATATAATCTATAATATTTGGCATATGATACTCATATATAGTCGTGAAATGTAAGCTTGCAATTATGTTGTTGTGGGGCAGAAGATAGCGACTGTTGAATTTAGCATTGCATCCATCGCCCCTTGGCGGGGTGAAGACCACCTTGAAGTGAAGAGGATTGTATGTCGGTTACCATGTTATTGCGGACTACAATCTTACCTGCAAGCTCCACAAATTGGGGTCCCCATGAGGTCATGACATCTCAAGCAATACAACTCATTGAACCGCTTACGGCACAGATGATCCAGCTCCTTGCTAAAAGAACAAAAAGATATCATGCAACCTTCAAACCGCAAAACTTATATATGACCAACTCAGAGTCATTGAGTCTTGATATTGATCAAGAAGCTCAGTTGCTAAGACGAAAGGCATTGCGAAGATGGCTATTATCGAGGATTATCGTCTCATAATAGGTTATCTTAGTTGCATTTAACGCGAGTACATCATTTACCGTTGTGTAAATGGAAAATTATAGCTACAGTACTTATGTAAATATTGGTTATCAGAATTCTTCGGAAAGGTTTGTACAACCACAGTATATATAAGACGGTACAGGAACGTTAATTTGCAAAATGGAAACATTCTCGTGGACACATTTATGACCGGGCAATGAACGGGATGTTTTCTTCAAACCCCGTGTGCCTACCCTCTTTCGCGGAAACAAATTTGTTATACCTTAAGCAAGAATGTCTCCTGTCAGATTCAAAAATACTTTATGTTTTTCATACTTTATGTTAAGCTGCAGTTTTATGTTTGTTCGTTATTTTTATTTTCGATTATTTTTGGTTGGAGTAGAAATGCGCCAGTCATGACACTGGAAACATCTATAACCATTATCCAAAAACGATAGTAATTTTCCCGATGTTCACATCCCAGGTGATTACCTCGAACAAATTTTCCTAGTTTGCGCTGGGCATAAAGATGTCGCTCACATGAAACAATGTACGCGAAACTTATCATGAACATATAACATGCTTAATCTCATCCATCATTAGCTAGCTTAACTAGAAGAAATCGTAAAAATCTGGTTGTTTTCCGGGGGAATAGACAGTGATTCGCGTTACAATTGAAAAAGAAAAGAAAATATTGAAAAAAACAGACATGAATTTACATACCCACAGGAATAGCAATTGTAATGCCACGGGTGCACTGGTTCGCCCATATACATGATATGCTCTCCTTCAGGTATGTATGTGCTACGATATGGACGAGAATCAATTTAGTCTTGAGTAAAAGCTGTATATACATACATACTGTATTTTCTTTGAAATGTCCAACTTGGTCAAGGAACAGTGGATTTCTCTGAACTAGGTACAGTACTTACTGGCATTTTCTACACACGTATCGTCCAGTGCCTGAAAAACAATCGAAGCAACGATAAGTAAGGAAGCGTCGCAATAAATAACTACATGCATGCAGGACCTTGTACCTTTACACCTAGTTACAGATATATTGAGATATATCAATATAAGTATATGAGGAGATATACAGGTACATATATGAACCTCTTTGGGCCTAAATTTAACTCGGTATAAGATCAATCCGGCAAGATCAGTACGAGATCAATTTTGCCTGAAACAGGGCAGTTTGAACTTGGTTGCATGTAAATGAATGAGTTGAATGAAGCTGGTTGCGAATAATTGTCATGGAATATGGCGCCTAAAAACACTGGGTTAACTCGGTTATTCATATTTCTAATACTCCATATATGACATTCTTGTTATCAAACCTACATAGTAATCTAATAAATCCTTGAAACCTATGTAGTGAGAAATATTCCTTCAAGCGCCGTGTGATTGACAGGAAAAACATGGGAGTGAGGCTGAGTTAGGCCGATATACAAAGAACAGAGCTTACTGTTAATTCCGGACAAACCTCAGATCGATTTTAGACAATCTTTCTAAGCTAGTCGACTGAAATTGATCTCAGTTCGATCTCAACCAACAGCCTCGCCTCTTAGGGTGAGTAATTAACTTGGCACCGTGATTAAAAGGTGCACATGATGTCCACAACAAAGACGTACATGTATCCTGACGAAGCTGTGCTGGTAAGATTACACGTAAAAATAACACAGGAATAAGCCTTACGTTTGGTCTTCTCGTCTGCGTTGCATTTCTTACACAGGGCCCTGGTTACAAAAAGCAAATGTATTACATCACAGATTTATGCAAGACTTAACATTCTGCATTAGTCTTTTTTTCTAGCCGTTTGCTAGTTAATTGATGAAGTAACTGCTGGTTAATTAATAAAGTCTTGCTGGTCATTCAATGAACTAACTGCTGGTTAATTAATGAAGTCTTGCTGGTTAATTAATGAAATAATAACCTCTTAACCGAGCGCGAGGTCTTTACTGAGAAATATCGGACCGAGGTCGGAATTTTTTGCGACTTTTTTGGTATACATACAATTGTTTTAAAATCATATAGAAAATTAAAATCACTAAAAAAGTCTTAAACCTTTTTAAAGTCACACGTGGGAAGTGAATGAAATTTCTTGCGTCAGATCGTTCATACTGAACGGCTTTCAACCACTAATATCGTGTGTTTCATTCAGCTATTATAATACTTTTTCTGGTTGAAACATGTACAGCAAGGACCGTACACGTACTGTAAGCATTGTTGCGATAACCGAAAAGCCGACTAAATTATTAAAAGTATAGGTAAAATATTCGGCGTCAAAGCCAAACTGAGTTGTTTTTGTAAGCCTGTTGAGAAGAGCTTCAGATATGAATTTATTGAAATAAAACAAAAAAAATTACCGTCCAGCATTCTTAATGAAGCCACTTTCAGCAAGACCATCATTACATATTTCACAACGGAAACATTCAGGATGCCAGCTGGCTTGCATTGCACGAATCACACGACCAATGATAAATTCACCTGGGAAGAAAATATTAAAGTTTTATCCAGGATCTACAACAAACCCGTTTCTTGTCCTAAAACAAAACTTGGTTCAAAGAATGACACGGAAAACATGGAAATAAATGTATAAATACAAACTAAATGCACAGGGTTACCATAGCACAGGGTTACCATAGAACTGTCAAAATCACTCCTAAATCAGAGCTATTTGACATCAATGTGTTGTTTAAAACCCCACAAGGTGTTAATTTTTGTTACTACATAATACTGAGGATAATAGCTACAATGTTCAGACAACATACCACATTCTTTGCAACAAGGAGCAAACAGTGCTTGAAAATCATGCTCACAGTATCTACGGCCATCAAACTAAAAAACAGATCAAACAAAAAGGTATTTTAAATATGTTAAAGTAGAATCAAGATATTGAAAGCCTTAAGTCACAGTTCCTGTTTATAATAAACTCTTTCTTATAATTTGGTGTAGAGACTTGTGTGAAATTACACAAATCTTTGGACTTTTCAATCAATCCACCTACATATACATACAGTACTGTACTTCTACCCAACAAATATTTGAAATCTTAAATGCAATATACTACATAATGAATTAAAATACGCATATGGAAATGTAAAGGATTCTTTTACATGGTAAAAGGATGGTAAAAATTTACAGTACACATGGCTATGTATGTATAAAAAGCACTTTACCTCATAGAACAATCCGTCAGGAAATGTTTGGAAACATTGGACACAGCTAAAAATATATGGTAATCATTTTGAAGATATAGTCTGGTGACAATCGAAATATCCACCATGGCTTTTCATCATTCATAATCATAATTTGGCTTATCAATTGGTCACATGGACAAAAAAGTGTCATGCTGTACTAACTGTATGATTGGAGGTGTCAAGAAGAATTGCTTTGAATGCTTTCTATTTCATGAAGAGATTATCACATATAATGTACATTTGTTGATAAGAAAGAGCATGTTATACAAAGAAACCTTTAATTTAGATATATAAGTACCGGTAACAGAATCCTGCAGTTCCAGTAATTGGATATATGGTAATGATTATCTTTTTTAGAAAGGAATACTTTTTATCTATTTAAATGAGGCCCACTGTCCCACCCTGTAACAGAAAGGTAAGCAGCCTTTTTACCACCAATTATATTGGTGTGGGGAATACAACCTATCCGAGTGTGGTTGGCCAGTGCCATCCCAGGACCATTGGTTCATACATAGCTACCAGTAATGCGGCAACAGAGGAAGTTTTTCTTGACCAAACATTTAACAAGTTATTCATTGACATTGTTCCCTGTTATAATTTAATGTGATATATATATATATATATATATATATATATATATATATATATATATATATATATATATATATATATATATATATTAATATTATACTGGAGCCTGGGCCATACAATATACCACTTTGTACCATATAGATTCTGGGTAATGTGGAGATTAAAGCAATCTCTTGGTCAGAAACAAAAGTTAAAACACTTTGATGGTCATTACATATGATGTGGACCACTTAGAAAAGATGCATCTACATCTTCCTTGAATAGTGACAGTACAATATGTAATTTATTCCAAAATTGTAAATTGAACTATCAAAATAAAATCACCATTTATTGGATATGTCTATTGTTTAAGATTATCATGGACAATGAATCCTTAATTATCCTAATTCTAGATGGCATATACCATACACAATATATTTCTATTTGCAACATAGTGATTCTTCAGAATATACATATGAATTTATTGTTGATGAAAAAAGCTGTCATTTGCCAAAGGTATGTTTCAGTTGGTTGGAGCATGTTCAACACTCTTACAATACTGTCAGACTGTCAGCCAATGGTAAATATAACACTTTGTTACAATACAGTTAGCCAATGGCAAATACTAAACACAACTATTTGTGATTAGAAGTAATCGGTTGATTATAAGCTGATCAATGAGTTAATTTCTGATTTTGTGACTTATGATTGACAAAAACATGGTCGGATCGGTCCCTGGTGTGTACCAAGGACCAATTCTAGTATAGCTCATTTGTGTAAACATGGTTAAATTGTAATTCTTACAATTTTTCAAGTTCCAATCAGACTGCCTAACAGAAAAATGTTTCCTTATGCAGAATATATACCATAAATATCAACTCATGCTATTCCAGCATCAAACTTCACGCAAAAGTAGAAATACTGTACGACAGATTCGGTGATTTGAGTATCTACTTACATAAAACACCTTTCATGGAGAATTTGGCCGTTTGAATTGACCATTCTCTCCTCAGCGGCGAAGCCATCTTCACATAAACTACAGACGACACCAGTTAAACCTTTATTAGGCTCGGCCGTGTCATTTTGGACCGGCATTTTGGCGGCAAAAGACTGCCAGAATCCACAGCAGATTTCTCACAATATTTTCAACTGAAAAACACTGATGGGCGAAGATGGCTGAGGCAAAGGAATTTGCATTCCGGAAACGACGGGTGTTGTTCTTTTCCGCCGGCTGAACTGTGAGGAAAATCTACATTCCTTGTCTCAAACAGCGATCTTGTTTGCACTATGATATTTAATATTGGCATTTCTTCCCTTATTTGCTTTAACTATGAATTGCGCAGGTGAAACTGTTCTTTATGAATAAATATTTTATTGTAAATTTTGCCGTCTTTCTTTAGGAAGAAATTCCACTATTAGGAATAAAAACTTTTTTGCCGGAATTTTAAGGAAAACAGAGAAAAAATTTAACTGGGAAAACTAAATGTTCCATTTTCCATAGGAACATTCTTTTGAAAATTGGAACCTTATTATTAGGTACGGTGGAGTTCATTAACCATATTCTATGTCACAGTTTAAACTCTAAAAGGTCGAGAAAGCTTTACACGACGCAAGATTGAAATAAATTAAGGTAACTATAGTACTTTGATTGCTATACTGTTATTTTATAGGGCATGTAAAAATTTATATATGATCATTAATGACAAATTTACTATCACCTGACTATCTAACTTTTCCTAGCCTACAATCCACTGACATCTACACTTCTTAATTAATTGCATGATTTTCATGTTAAAATGCACTAACCTAAAAACAGACTTCTATGCGTAACCCCAAAGTTGATTCAGATGGTGGTTTGCTTCACAATTATGCCCAAATGATTTCAGCAAAAATTGCCCAACACAACCACAGGCAGCCCGGTCACTGCTGTTACGTCATGCTATTATATCATGATGTAACAGCAGTGACCGGGCTGCCTGTGACACAACTTGTAAAAATTGGCTTCACTTATGATTAAATTTTGTTCTGTCATGGGACTCCCTAGTCTCCCTTACTTGCCCTTGCCTGTGTCCACATACATGATTTGTTTTCTCAGACTCTTGTGAAATGAATATAGAAAAATTAAGATACACATCCAAAGGCCTGCATGTTCACACGGAGCAAGTTATCCCGGCTAGACGAGGTAAAAAGCGCTTCACATCAAAGGCTAATAACCTCATTAGTCCTTCATTATATGCAGTTTTCACCTTGCCTAGCTTGTATAGCTCAGTTCATGTAAACAGGTCCTAAGAGCACTTACCTGGGTTTTTTCCTATGCTATTGTTTACACAAGTGGTAAAGACAATAGGGACCTTAAGATACACCAAATCTATGATGCAATTGTAAAGAAAAACTCAGTTTCACAACAGGATCAAATAAAACTATCAAATCCTTTTGGTACATAATATATCTCATAGCTGTATCAAAAACTATTAATTAAAACAGGGTTAGAAACACGAGCGGCTGATTTCATATATGTCACGTCAGCATCCTAGAGTTGGTCAGTTGGTGTATCTTAAGGACCCTAATAGAATATAAAGGTAAAGCCTGCTTAAGTGCTATTATAATTTGACCAAGACAAAGTATCGCATAGATTTCCTTTCTGCCATTTTATTATTTCATTTTTATGTACTATCTTTATTACATTATTTCTACAATTATAACTGACTATTAGATTGCTAGCCATAAAATTAAAATATCTGGAGATTTTTTAATAACTGTTTTAATGAGATGTTCAAATTGTGTGTCATCAGTGGGTAGGAAATGCATGGGCAAAATTGTGTCAGATAGCATGTACAAGCCCTAAGATTGCAATGTCAAGAAGTGTTTTTCTTGAGTTTCGTTTTTTCTCAATGAATGCATGTTCTGAAAACAATTATAGAACTAATTGAACTAATGTAAAAATTGTTACAACTGCAATAATCGGTTATTAGATTTTGTACCCAATTTTTTAAAGTCAGTAACCTAGCTAAAAAATTATCACACCTGTTCCCTGGCTTTTCCCTTACAATGCAGGGAAATTTTGAAAAAACCTGGCATGAAAAGGAGAAAAGATGAGGGCCCTCAGGACTTGAAGCTGGCGAGGTTGAAAATCATCAACCATGCATACATCTTTCCGTTGCCCAACTCACGGCCTGCTAACCTCAAGTAACAACGTACGTGCGGGCCGACCCTAGGCCGTAGACTTCATTGTCGCGTCCCAGTTCACTGGTCGCGTCCAAATTGATGATGTCATTAAAGCCATGCTAATTAATTACCGAAAACGCTGATGTCATAATCTAGTTTGTCATAACTCATTTAATTGACTTAGCTAAACTGCGCACGTTTAATTCCTTACGTTTTTCGAGCAAATTTAAGTATTTGAGATTGGTCTCTTGAAATGGCGAATCAGAGTACAACAAATATAATGGCTGTGGTGGAAAACGATGAGATTGAAAAACATAATTTAGTACTGAATATCTTTAGCGAAGCAAAAACACGGGATGAAATAATTGAAACTGCCGGCGTTGAGCAAAATACTAGCGATAACCGAGGTCATGTAGAGGAACTAAAACGTTCACTTACAAGCGAAGAAATTCAAGGTAGGTACTAATTTTATTCGTTTTGTAAATAAAAAGTGCAATTGTTTTCATTTCGAAATTTTCTAATGCACCAGATATAATTTTTTTTTCTAGTTGCTATGCAACCAACTCGCTAATTTGCGCGCGCGAATTTTTGGCCTAAAGAGTCTCATTTGTATACCTTCTTTTAGATCAACAGCATCTTGACGAGAGCTTGTCACCGCAAGTGAAATTCTCGTTGGGGGTAGAACAGCTAATATGGAAATCAATGCCAATTTTTCTAACAATGAAAATGCCAGCATTTCGGCCTTCTTTGTCTTTGGTGAATTGGATCATGAATATGAAGATATTAAAAAAGGAGAAAACATCTCTGGCGCTAAGCTTGAAGAAAGTAAGGAACCTTTTGTTGAAGAAACCTCACTTGTTGTTCGCACTCAAGAAAAACCTCGTAATTGCGAAAGAAAATATATTTTTTATGAAGAAGAAATGCCAAAACCAGTGGATGATCTAAACAACAACAATTGATATTGGTCGTCTAAAGTTAGAGGTTAGCGCGATCTATAGTTTTGAATTATAATTCATTTTTTGGAAAATTTTTATTGTTCCTTTGTCAATTTAAAATTCCTTGTTAAACGGCTGATGTAATTTTTGTAGTCAATAATGCTTGTAAGTCATAGAGGTCACAATTACGGATTATTCTTTTCTTTCAGGAGGTCAGTTCAGAGTTGATGTGGCTTACTTAAATCCCCGTTACGTTGGCTGCTGCTGTTTCACAGATAGCTATCATCCAAAGAAACCCACGACTTAGGGACTGGTGGAACTCTTTTCTGGTGATCTCGATACAGATAACATTATTTCATGTCAGGCTGGGCAAACTAAAATGCCTTTCTTCTAATTAACCTCTCCTTGGCTCTGTATCCGCTGATGATGAAAAAGAAGAACAGTTCGTCTCAATCAGGTTCGCATTTACTTGGTACATATATTGTGTAAAGACTAGCCAAGAAAGACGTCACCGATCGTGTCGAAATTGAACGATGTACAATGTCTTCAGGGGCTGAGATGGCTTCCACTACCATCGCATTTTTTTCCAAAACAAAGCTAAAAACGTAACGGTGACGGTGTTCATTCGTCCTGGTCCGAGGCAATTTCCACTCAGGTGTTGAGCGTGACCGGGTCTCCACCTGAGTGTGAGCAGCCTCGATCCGGATGCGTGAACATCGAAGGTTTGACGTCTTCAAAAAGATGCTTGTTGTCTCCCGTCCATACGCGAATTCTGTTGCGGTACAAAGTGATGGTCGACCCGAAAAAAGGTGTGATGCCTTCAGAACATGCTGGCCTCCATCTACGTTTTACGAATTAGTGGTTGTGAAAGTATAGGTTGGGAATGGCAAAGGAAAGGAAGGTAATTTGAAGACAAGCCTGGAGCCGAACCAAATATATTTTATTAACGTCTTGTCGGTTTCTTCTGCTGTGTATGTAGCAGCCAGCAATAAAAGAAAAGAGCCAACCAAATAATGATATTAGAAGAAAGCTTGATAATTTTCGTGCACTACTTCGTTTGTGGTATAAACATACGAATATTTCCCTTTTGCATAATATTATTTATAATGTTATTCATTATTCTGAAGTGCGTGGACAATAATTGCAGAATATAATATAGAATATGAAAAATAAGTTTATGCATAATGATAATAAAGATATTTAGTTTCACAAAGTTGTTTCTTCATTTACGGCCAATGGCGTAGCGAAAGAATCCAGGGGGGTGTTAATATAGGTATTAATTAACTTGACTCACGAAAAGAGCCAACTTAGATACTACTTTTCTCCCCCCCCCCTCAATACAAATTTACTGGAGTTTTATTTATTTCAATATTACCAGATCATTTTAAATATACCGTGTTGCCCCAAAAAGTGACACTATAATATTATTTTATTGTTCTTAAACCTCTCTTAAACGCTCTCTTAAACAAGGGAATTCACTCAGATTTCACTGTCAGAAGCACCTACATGGTCGGTGCTGAGTTAGAAAATGTTTCCAAATAAATAGTTTTCTATTTATCGTTTGAAACAGTCTATTTGAGCAGAACTCCCCCATCCCTGAGCTTTCAGAATTAACTTTTTTCGTGTATGATATTTATTGCTTATTGCTTTAAAATGGCTAGTAATAATATACCCAACCGAAATTGCATTGCATGGTTTCTATATGAACAAGGTATATAGCCTATCATAGTTATTATTTTTAAATCTCTTAGTGAAAAATGGTTCTTGTTGGAGCAGTTATTCTTCCTCATGGCACGATGTCATTTGATGGACAAGGTTCCGAGAGTTCAGTGAAGTCTTGCCGTGACCGGCATGAAGGTTTACCAAAAGACTTGCAGGTACGAAATTTGCAATGATATAGTCCTAATTCAATTTTTTTCTCGACCTACCTACCTAGCCATCCTTGGCTAAATAATTATTGGTTATTTACGATCAGAAAACAGCTTCCGTGGACAGAGAGAGGGGGGGAGGAATTTAAAGGACAATAAACGTTGTTACAGTTAAAACAACATGCATGATTAAAGATGATGTAAAGTCCGTTCTGAGCATATATTCTGCGCATAACATTGTTTGTTTACGTTGGTTATATAATCTTTACATGACGTATGCGTCGTTATAATTTTATTATTTTCTTCTCGCTCGACGGGCTGTGATCTGTGATGAATATGCTTATTTTTTATTATATTTTGAAGAAAATATTGTTATATTTTGAAGAAAATATAAAGCAAAGCTTGTAAATAAACCGGCCGTTATTTAAAACGTTATATATTTGTAATTGTAGGACAAGCGAGAAGGTGGCGTCTGTAGCGACAACAAATAGCCTCGCCATTTCGGGCCTTATTCAACAAATAAATTCTTGGAGCATTCCTTTCAGCATAATATTGCTTTTTCTAGCAGCTTTATGATAAGATAAGTTATCGTCGTGACTCGCAATTCGAGCCTCTTCGCCTTGCGACATAAAATAAAATAATTTTGCTCCCGAACTGCCGTTTGTAATACAACGCGCTAATATCGCATATCATTAACATTCCAAAAGTTGCTCCCCCACTGATGGAATGTGTTGATGCGCGGAATATATGCGCAGAACGGACTTTACCTCATCTTTAAGTAGCTATTTCATTTTTAACTATAAAAAAATCTATAAATGTGAAAAAGTACCAAAGCCTGTTAATTTGCACATTTATTGTCAGGTTGCATCCAGTGTTTGAACACAACGATTGAAATTGAAATATCCTGAAGTTTTATTAATTTGTACATTTATTGTCAGGCTGTATCCAGTGTTTGAACACAAAGATTGAAATTGAAATATCCTGAAGTTTTATTCTGACTTGAGCAAGTCTTTTGTTTACTGTTAAATTAACTGTGCCTTGTAGGTGCAATTATCTGGTCTGTTCGATGCAACAACAAAAGCCTGTGAGGAAATTTCTGAACTCAAGCCGGACATCGTAATGTTGCATACCCCCCATGGAATATCATTGTCTAAATCAATCGGTATCTATATGAACAATGTAGCAAAAGGCAATGCTCTTTGGAATGGAAAATGGGACGAATTTAAAGTGGAAGTTCCGATAGATACTGAACTGGCAACGAAAATTGTTGAGCATTTTGAAGAAGATGAAATTGATGCTCAAGGTGTAAATTCGTTTGCCCGCACGGAAGCGCCCCTACGATGGGGAGAGGTTGTACCTCTTTGGTATTTGGAACGAGAATTTAAAAAATCCAAGCAGCAACCGAAATACGTAATCCTAAGCCAATCGATGAGAAGGGGAAACATGGGCGAAGATAAGTTGGTAATTGGAAAATCCCTTGCTAAATTTCTGAAAAAAATTGAAACAAGAGTCGTACTTGCAGTCAGCGGTGATCTCTCGCATACTCATGCCCATAGTTACTGCGATATTCCGCTGTACTTACCTGACCCACGATGGAACCTGTCCCATTCCGACACAGCCGTAGTCTTCGATCGTGCTATTGAAGGATGGGCCATCAGCGGTGATTCAAACCTGATTGGATCTGATGCGCAGCTTCCATCTTGTGATAAAGCAGTGTTATGGGATGTTTCGTTGGCCAAGGCATGGTTGGATCAAACTATTGAACTACAACCTCAAGCCAAGTCTTGTGGCATTGGCGGTTTCATTGTCCTACATGGACTTCTCTCGCAATGTGATCAGAAAATCTACAGTAAGGTCTTTGGACGGTTCGCACCTACTTACTATGGCATGATCGCCATTGTATTTTCCATATGTTAACAAGCAAAGACCATTTAGCAAATTCTTGAATGGAATATACAAAATATAACTAAAAACAGACATTACTTGCCAAAAAATACTTTCATCTAGCGTTTGAGCTGAATCTCATTCGCTTAATACTTCAGGCTCAGCCGTAAAAGTACTTTTAACTTGAATTCCTGAAGCTGTCTACTTGTTCGCGAAAGCCTACACATTTGAAAGCTTTTAATCCTGTCCGAGATGCTAACATTATCAATAGGCCAACTCCTTTTGACTTATTCTAACTAGTTTGTTTTCTATATCATGCAGTTAGCTAACTATGATCTAATAAAATTTCTCACTGACACGTAACGTTGCTTTCATTCTTTTCTCTTATTCGTTTATTCGAACATTGTATCACCTTAATAACGAACAGAGTCTGCTTGTTGGCACATTTAATGTTCAAATTTGCCACAAATGGAATCGCGTAGAAAGAATATAAAAGACAACTACAACCAATGTTCAAAATCTAGAACAATTCGTTTCTGAAGCCGAAAAGGCAAAAAGAGATCTGACGCACACGGAAGAGTTAAAACAGGAACAGTTGTTGCATGAAGCGCGAATGAAAATGCAAGCTGAATTGTCTTCAACCCCCAAGCCTCAAACGGAAGGTAAAGAATGCAAAGTAGTTTCGACTGGGGCGGCAAAATTGCCCAAACTCGTCATTTCCAAGTTTGGCGGCTCCTTTCTGGCTGGCCGAAATTTTGGGGACAATTTTCTGAGGCGGTCGATAAAAGTTCACTAGCACCAATAACGTAATTCACCTATCTGTTAGAGCTGCTTGAACCGAATGCAAAACGTAGTCTCGAGTCTCTTCCCTTTGCGCTTGAGGGCTATAATAGAGCAAAATCTATTTTGAAAGAAAAATTCGGCAATCGTACATATGTTTCGTGGAAGATCGAGGTTTTGGATTTACTTTTGTGGTAAACTTACACATTCTGTTCAAGCACTTGAGACTGTGGGGAAACTTAACGGTATTAAGGGGTACGTACCAATGACTCTACGTATAAGATATCGGGAATTCGAGGGGATTTGGTGCGTGATGACCCTGAGTGGAAATTCTGTGATTTCTTGAAGTTAACTCATGTCGTAACTCGTAAATGAGTGGGTGAGGAAAAACCACGTAACTAGCTCTAGCGGGAAACGCGAGGAGAACAACTCGAGAAAAATGTTCCAATCTCGAAAGGAAAGCCGCCAATCTCGATTTGTCAGTAAACGAACGAAAGAAAATCCTAGCAAAAAAGGGGCTTTGTTTTAATTGCGCAATGAAACTCTCTCCTCCGCAAAGGCTTCGAATGCAAATGCGCTAGATTTTAAAAGAAGACCGCTGCAAAAGGCAGTGAGACCTCATGATTGTACCAGTAAATCTGCCTGCGGAGATTGTAACAAACGTCATCACACTTCTATTTCCGATCAAACTGAGCAACACGCTTCCGGAGATAAGAAGTTGATGACGGATGGTGGCAGTCGTGAGGGCATATTTCCTGCAGTCGTGATTAAATAAATCCTTTAATTTGCCGTGCTTTAATAGACTCTGGCGCTGGGGCTCTTACGTCTCAGCTCAGCTAATTAACACACTTGTCATCAAGCCGAGTAAAATTAAAAACGAACAAATTGACATGCTCTTGACATCCGCAAGGCAAAAGTTGAGTTATATATGACGTAAAAATAACTTACCTCGATGAAAGATACGAAATGGTGCCATGCGATTAAACAAGGTCGATAAGAGCGAGCTTCTGTTCATCGAACAGCCCGAGTACGAAAAGTTGATAAGGCGTTACCAACACCTTAGCGTGGTACATATGGATGGTCACTTCACGAAAAACCAATTACCCATCCACACGTTATCCTCGGAAGCGGCGACTATGCCCGAATAAAGACAGCTACGAAACCTCTCATCGGGAAAGAAAGAGAACCAGTGGCAGAGTGAACTAAGCTTGGATGGATGATTCTAAGTCCTTGGACCGAGTTCGAGAAAACGAAGATGCTCTTGACGCAGGCAGACCTCACATAATTATATAGCAACGCACTATAACGCACTTGATTGGTTGACACTTAAACTAATAGTTCAAATTACACTTGCATGCATCTTCAATTAATATCATCTGTATATAACTTCTTTCTCTACTCAGAGACACACACAATTACATAAATGAGAAAATAACCAAAATCACGTTGTTGCATTGATCGTCCAATTTGTATCCCGCTAATTCGAAAGTCCGCTAAAGTTCTCTGCAATCGTCGTAGACACAACGCAGCAAACGAAGAATATTCAGTAATTCGGGTATTAAGACGATCGAGACATGCAGACAATGCAGAGAACGATCAGCTTCCTGTGTACCAAGTATTCCAGGAACAACTAGAGCGAAGTTCTCAGGAATGGTATGAAACGGGGCTCTCGTGGAAACCAAATTACCCCCCTCTGCCTGCCAATGAAATAGAGAGTCGACGACGATTGGAGAACTAAAGCCCCGTTTACACTACAGTCAATTTATCGGCACGGTACGGCTAAAATGGGTACCCGTGCCCAATTTCACTAGTGGTCAGGCTACCAAAGCCAAGGCCAGGCGCGGATGAAATGGGCACGGGTACCCATTTTAGCTGTGCCGTGCCAATAAATCGAGTGTAGTGTAAATGGGGCTTTAGTAAAGCCAGTGACCAGTACCAGTGACCGGTACGACGATTATAATGACGTCATCGTACAGCAGTTGGAGGACGGAGTGATCGAGCTAGCTCCATCAGTAGTGAGTGAAAGGAAGTTCTACGTTCCCAACAAAGCGGTTGTCAAGAACACAGCAGAAACGACTAAGCTTCGCATCGTGTATGACGCATCGGAGAGAATCCAAGACGTCGCCGTCTCTGAATGATTGCCTGAACCCGGGTCCCTGCTTGCAAAATCTTCTCTGGTCGATTCTGGTTCGATCTCGATTCCTCCCCATCCTGCTCACCGGAGATCTCCAGAGAGCATTCCTAAAGGTCAGGATAAAGAAGCCGAGCGTGATGAACCGCCGGGAAGTGATGACATAATCGCATATCGGTTCATGAGGCGTTCTACAAGAACGAGAGGCACAAGAGTAACAGCTAGGAATAAGGACAAGTGCAGCACATCTACAGCGATCTACCGGCCTACAGGTATATAGTAACCAGAAAATTTTTTTGCGTGCTCTAAAAATATCTGCGTGTTATATAATGATCTTAGTTGTCGCTTGATGAACTAATTGGAAAGCATATACTGTATGTATCCTTAATGTATATTTTCTTTGCATACATAGTTAGTACGGTGTGGATTATTTTGTATGTGTATTTAGCATGTTAATATAGCTAACAAAGCGATTGTTGGTACTTCCAATTATATCAATTGACCCTAACGTATGTTCCATGTAAAGCGAACACGACGACCGTAGTATCAATACGTATACAATGGGTCATTTAAAAAATGAATATAGTCGAAGACCTATATGGGTGTTTTAAACCTCGTCCATGCACGTTCTGTTTACAACCGCAGATGCACGTTCTGTTTACAACCGCAGATCTCCGGTTTTCACGTCTTCAAAGTGCATGCAATTAACGTGGACGCATCGAGCGCCTTGATTTGTTGGCTCCATATAATTGCTCACAAACAGAAACCCAATTTTTTCAATGTCCTATTCGTCATTAAATTTATACGATTGATCATATACAACGACTCTTTATCGTAGCGTTCATTTGATTTTTTGTTGTCTCATCGCGTTCCTGCAAGGTCCTTGTATTACGAGGACAATAGACTGTTGTGCCTTATGGCTTATTGCGAAGACAACACACAACAGACAACAGTATTGTCATGCACTGGGATATATGTATTTTACGAAATGTCGGGATCGAGCCATCGAGGTGTATAATGTCATAGAAACCCTGTATATAGCTGCATGCATGAGGCTTGCATACATGTGCCATAATTGTGACCTTCCACGGGAAAACATACGTTAACGCTATTTCGTTGGTTGAAAAATATTGTTCGTTATCCGTTCGTTTGCCGTTCAAACGCTCCAGGCGTTCGTTGAAACGATTTTCGAGATCGTTTATCGTTTGAAATTGCCCGTTCGAACGCTTAGCAAAAAACGTTCGAAAAGTGTTCCAAAAGCGTTCATCCGTTGATTTACCGTTTGTTGAAACGTTTGTCGGAACTTCGTTCAATCGCATTGGATTGGCTCAACATTAGATTTAACATTTGCAATGTTACAACTTTATAGAAGAAGCGCAGAATGTGTTACAAAGAAATAATCCTAGAATAGTAGACTTGTAATGGGGATACATAATTTTAGCCGAATCAAATGCTATTTCGTGCGCTTCATGATTTCGTCTGAGCGTCATGCAGACATGAAAGCTATAGGCTACAGTATATATTGCTATTCAGTGCATGCTTTTATTTCATTAACGTCAAATTTCACGTCAAAAACTCAAAAAGCTTTCTTTCAAAAGTTTATCGTTTTTTGAATGCCAGTAATGCAATGATTACAATCTGGACTTTAATACTTCTGTAGCTTTCATGAAGCCAAAGTTCACCACGCATATTGAGCATTACGCGACATATGCCTTGGGAAGGTGCTAATTAAATTGCACAACTGTCGGAAGTCTCTAAATGAAAACAGACAAAAGCCGATGATTGAGGAATTTTGCGTGTTACATATTATCAGGCCTGATATTATCTTATTTGTTAACCATATAAGGTATAAAAAAAGACTTGATCTGGGTTGAATGAATTAAGCTCATGCATTTTTCAAATTTATTTAGACTTTCAATTCACAAAATTTACTTCATATATATATTGATGTATGCACATTTCAGCACAATGTGATTGAAGTTTTCTGAGCGATCTAAGGGAAGGGAGATTATGCATTTTAGTATAATAGATCGTAAATGTCGACTTGATTTGTTTTCTAGATCTTTATTCAATGGTCATCGCACATGATTGCGATTTATAAACTAGCCTATAAGAACCATGCTTATGAGAACTTTGCTTCAGAGGCAACATTCTCCCAAACTGCATTATATTTCGCTGCATGTGGAGTAAACCTAACCCAAGCCAAATATATATATATAAATACCTAGTATATGAATACATAAGAGATGCCTGCGGAGGAGGCTAGAGTAAACGCCTGAGTAGGCGTCTTGTTTGGTTATAATTTCATCTCCCTCGACAGCTCCTCGAATCGGAAACGTGGAACGCAGAAAAACTCGAATTTTACAAATGATAGAGATTGTATGAGAGTAATGAAACTGATAAAACCACAAAGAAGTCGCACAATGAACATCATAATATTGCTCACTGAAATTTAGCCTAGCTAGACTTTGATAATGCACAAAACACAAACCCTAGCATCTGTTGAACATATAATTAGAGACGTGTGACAAATAACAAACCAGAAATTATAATCTGTATTATGCCATTTAGGTTTTTTGGATATTAAACAAACTAGCATAAACAATCAAAGACGTCGTCTAGAAATTCTGCGTTTTATGAGGCTGAGTTTTAGCGCTATATATGTTTTAACCAAGTGCGTGCAGTCCTTGCATACAACCGGCACAAGCCCAAACTCCCCAAAGGGCAAGCTGCCAAGCTGACGTACTGTAATGCAACACTCAGCGTAAGCCTAGTGCAATAATTTCGCGAAGCACTATCCCAAATATTTGCTGGGTATTGACATCTATGGCAAAGTCAAGGCGTTTTAGCACGTGCCTAAAGGTATGATCTCTAAATGAAACATTAACTATATACGTCGGAATTTATTCAGTATATATTACTTTATAATTATCTGTTATCATTAACTCTTTTCATGCATTTTATGTCTATATGTCAACGTGAGTAAAATTGATCATATATTGCTTATCATGTTCGGAGGAATCAAGTTGGGTCACGATCATCCAATTTGTAAGGCCGTTTCTAGGGAGGAAAATCATGACAATCTTTGCAAAAATGCTATTTCTTCTTATTTTCAATATAGTGGAGAATGGTGTTTGTTGGAGCAGCTGTTCTTTCGCACTCCACGATACCATTTGATGGACAAGGTTCTCTGAGTCCAGTGAAGTCCTGCCGTGACCGGTATAACAGTTTTCCAAAGGACTTGCAGGTGCGGTCTAAATGCTCGTTATCTATAGAATGAAATCTGCCAGAAAGATTTTGTAGGGGACTAGAAGATCCTGTTAGTTAATGTTTACTAGTTATAACATATACTGCGTGTATCATGATAGAAGCGTACAGCTACATTTTTTGCCGACAATTGCGGACGAAAAATTATCAATAAATTTGAAATCTTCCACTTTCTATCGTTTGCATAAAGAGTGCATAGATACAGTACATCCATTCACCATCCTTTAGGTATAGCAAGCCCTGATTATAAGCACCATTACGAAGGAGTATATAATTATAGCCAGTGTATGATATAAAAATAATTGACTGCATGGCTCGGTATCAAAGAGCTTTTTGCAACATATTTTCTATCCATTGGGGCTATGTATCAATTTCATATTTTGTGGACAAATGTCATACATTGGGTTATAAATAGTTATTACTCTCAAAACAGTTCCGTGAAATTACCATAGAAACACTTGTAATACCCAAGATTGTTGGTCAACGCAAATATCCTTTACATTGTTGAAATATTTCCGCGTGGGAATACTTCTGAAAAAATTTGTCTCACATCATTGTTAGAAATTCTCAAAAGTTTGGACAATGACCCTACACAAACCCCCATGCATGCATGCATGACGCTTCCTTCTTCGACATAGCATATACAAAATAACTATATGAGTAAAAAGTATTAATCCATATAGCTTTCTTGTAAAACGAGACTCACTTGTAGAGATCGGTCCCTATTCCCAAGTCCTAACAACATAATTATTTACTGTATGCGAAAAAGTAAATCATCAAGGTGTTTCTGTGAACGCATTCAACGTCTATATAGCCATATAATTCTATCAACTCTAATACATTTGTCTAAGCTGGCCTTCTCCTTTTGCCTTTACTTTTCTATTAACTGTTCCTTGTAGGTACAATTATCCGGCATCTACGATGCAATGACTACGGCCTGTGAGAAAATTTCCGAACTCAAACCGGACATTCTAATGCTGCATACACCCCATGGAATGTCTTTATCTAAATCCGTCGGTGTCTACATGAACAGTTTTGCAAAAGGGAATGCATGCTCTTTGGAAAGGGGAATGGGAGGAATTCAAAGTGGAAGTTCCTTTAGACAGTGAATTGGCAATGAAGATTATTGAGCATTTTGAAGAGGATCAAATTGATGCTGAAGGTGTGAATTCATTCGACATGGCGGAAGCGCCACTTCGATGGGGAGAAGTCGTGCCTCTTTGGTATTTAGAACGAGAGTTTAAAAAATCTAAGCAACAGCCAAAGTACGTAATTCTTAGTCAATCCATGAAAAAAGTTAGCCAAGCGATGATGGAAATTGGAAAGTCCCTTGCTAAATTTATAAAAAAGATTGATGCAAGGGTCGTGCTTGTAGTAGGTGGTGAGCTCTCGCATGGCCATACCCATGGTTATGGTCATATTCCTCTGTATTTACCTGACCCAAGATGGAACCTGCCACCGTCGGATATAGCCGTAGCCTTCGATCGTGCTATTGAAGGATGGGCCATCAGTGGTGATTTAAACCTGGTTGGATCTGATGCGCAGCTTCCATCACGGGATAAGCCAGTGATATGGGATATGTCATTGGCCCAGACATGGTTGGAACAAGCCATTGAATTACAACCTAGAGCCCTGTCTTGTGCCATCGGCGGATTCATTGTCCTTCATGGACTCTTGTCTCAATGTGATCAGAAAATCAACAGCAAAGTGCTTGCACGGTGTGCACCAACTTATTATGGCATGACTGTCATCGTATTCTCTCTGCTTTAACTGGCAAAGACTATTGAACGGGGGAACGGTTTCAGGGTTAGTTGGATGTGGGGGATGGCGTTGAATGCGTATATATTCATGTTAACATTTACCGTAGGTTCAGTAGCTTTCAAACAAAAAGATCAGGTTTTGAAAATTCACCAAGTTTCGTGAGTGATATTATTCCTGGGCATACGACGGAAAGAATGCTTTCTGTTTTTCAGCTAAAATAAACTATAAGATCCAGTGATTATGTTCAAAAAATGTGTATTTTTATACCTTTATTTCTGTGTGGGTTTTGCGCGTTTTTTGGCGACTTCAAAAATACCTTTTTATAGCAGTTCTCATATAGAGCTAGAGCAAATACCTAATATATCGTTCGAGATTTTCGGTGAAATAAATGTTAATTATATATCAAGGTGCTGCAATATTGAATCAAATATAGTCGGCATGATGCATTTTTGCATAGAGATCTTGGAAGTAATTTATTAAAGCAGTCCCAAATGCGCTACAGAAATTTTCTTACAGTCCTTAACACATGCATATACTATATGTGCATGAGACACAACATAAAAGGAACATCGTCGGCCAGTATAAAAGATCTGATGCTCGCTGCATAATAAAGGCCTATATATAAACTAATCCTTATCATGCCAAAATGCAGATCACGTTTTAGACCGTTTATAAGCCATAATATTATGCAGGGTGAATAGAAAACCGGGCTAATTCGCTGCAATCAAAAACAATCCAAAATACAGGGACTGGAAACGCTATTGTTTTCGCGTGCATGCGCTCTCCGTGATACGGCCGCACATTTTGCGGGCTCATGTAGAACTCCGTTTTCGAAAACAAAAATGGAGACACTTCTCAACAAAAAGACAACGCACGCAGTTATTTGGTGATTTGTAGCTTCAATAACGCAAAGAATATGTTGGTAAAAGCAATGAGTTAACAGTTTATTGTTTTTTGTTTAAGCTATCTTCAAATGGGGCCCTAAAACTTGCCTAAAGTAAATTTAATTGGCACATATTTCGAGAATAACAATGGCGACACTCGTTTAGCAAAAAATACAACGCACGCAGTTTTTTATCATAATTTTAATTTTTAATATAAGACGATATTGGAAAATGCCATAAATGCACAGTTAATTGATTTATTGTATCAAATATATTAAATAACCCTCGGAAACTGGATCGAAGTGATTTTATAGGGTCCCAACTAGGTACATCTCCACCAGAACAAAAATAGTAACATTTAACATCAAAGCACGACGCATGCAGTTTTTTGCAATTCTTAGCTTTATATACAAGCGCAAAAAGAGACTAAAAAAGTTGATAGATGTACACCTTGCATCATTTTGTATACATTATGTAAGAAAATGTTTCCCAATTTGTTAAAATTATAGTTAGAGGGTACCAATTTAGGGTGCATACATGGCGACCCTCTTGTGGTTAGGACTGAGACAGGTTTTTAAAGGTCTGCATGTAGTTACAAGTTAAAGTTACTGTCCTAATGCATTTTTTTTGTAATATAGGATGCTATTTGTATGTGGTTAAAGAAAATTTATAGCTTTGCTTTCAAGTTACAGGGTCCCAAAAAACTACCTAATTTTTGCGTGCGCGCTATATATTCTTAATGCAAACACTGTCAAGGCTGAAATTATGAGCACAGTTTACAGTCAAGATGAAAAATGAAAACGGACTTGGAAATGAAAAAGAACATTGGGTTCGACACAATCGTGCACATTGTTAGCCTATTTGTTTTGAAACATTTAAATGAATTACACATGCATGAACTACACATGCGCAAATACCGTATTTACTCGTTTGAGCACCGCAGCGCTCTTTACATTTTTAGAACTTCAGATGCCGCGCTTAGTCGAGGGCGGCGCTGAATCGGGGGCGGCGCTCTTTAAAAAATATTTTTGTGAATTGTAACAAGAACTTTAAATAAAAAGAATTGAAAGTTAGATGTAGCCAAATGTCCCCATTTTGACAGCGAGCATTTGGGCATTTTACAGAGAACAAACCTCCTCGTACAAATCACATGGATCTCTATCTTCACGTCTGACCTGCGCCCTACAAAAATTCTAAATACCGATTTAACAATAGCGTCTTCAACAATTCTGACAGTGCGTCGATTAAACGCCGATTTTCATAGCTTGCGTAGCAAGCGTTTCCGCTTGGTTTACTAAATGTATATATGTGCACTAGGTCTAGAATGATGGAGCACCAGGTCGTCTAAAATGCAAACAGGGAGGAGGGGAGAAGGGCGGGGGGGAGAAGTGGAAGGGGGAGGAAAGAAGAAAGGGGTTAGGGAGGGGAAGGAAGAAAAGGAAGGAAACGCTTGCAGACAAACCCCCCGAAATTGAAAAACTCCCTCTATACGGTTGTCATTAATCCATCCAATCAGATCATTGGCGGAAGTAAATACGTTTAAGCCACGTGCGAGATCAAAGTTGACATTTCGATTTCTACGTGCGACATGGAAATAAGTTGATCATGAAATGAACCCTAATGACAACTGCAGGTTATGCAAATGCAACTTTAAGGTCAAATTCGGTAACTCGAAACAAGCAAGCCACATATCTACCGAAAATCTATTCAAACCGTCGAATAGAAAAGGAAGCCAAGGAGAGATTTTAGCCGAGATCTGCAAGAATGTTGGACTTATAGTGGTGAAATCTGAAGGTGACTCGTCTCGTGTTTGTAATCCATGTGCTCGCAAAATTCGAAATGTTGGTTCGATGTACAGTTTTATTTTAAAAACTCTCTACAATCGTCTACACCTACAACAGCAGTATCAACTCCAGTGAAACCAAATCCAGCAAGGAAACGCTTCTTAACGTCACCAGAAGGAAAGAGTCCTGCCCGCAAATCGGTTCGTGTTTTGTCACCAAACGTAAACAAAGAGAACAAACCTACGAGATCTAGGAAAACCCTTGCATTCGATAATCAACAAGACAACGTGGATCAAAACCTTAATATCGACGATCTCCCTGAATGTGGACTGCAAGTTAAGGTTGTCTTGCGAACCGAGTCTGGCAACGTACTCGTGAGAATCCCCCGCGAAGAGGACTCGAAACGTTTGGTCCGACATATTTGCGAGAAGAAATGGCACGCTGTTGCAAATGCTCTCATGAAACATTCGGAGATGTATTCAGAAGTTGTAAAAGCAGTCAGCAAAATCGCCGCAAATGAAACCGCAAATTATGTAAAGACCGAGAGTCTGTTGTTGGCAACAAAGCCTGACGAAATTATTGGGTTCTCTAGCAAGATATTCGTAGAAGAACTGCGAGTGTTTTGCCCAATGTTTTACAACATAGTTGTTCATGCTAGTTGCCTACAGTCGAACGATGTCAAAAGCACAGGCACCAACACAAATAATGTGGCCCTTGCATCTGCTATTATTTGCAAGCTAAGGAATCCGAAAGCGTCAGCCCTTCATCACAGGATTTCCACTGTACTATTTCATAGTGGGACCAAGCACGACGATCTTGTGAAATTGAATAAACTTGGTGTTTGTATGTCCCCGAAACAAATGGTTTGTTCGCAGGTGGAGATGGGCAAGCAGCTTGAAGGAAAAGTTTGCGTTTGGAAAGCGCAAATAGAAGAGCAAACAGGAGCTCAGTTGTTGCTCAAAGAAGTGCAAATGAAGCAGGCAACAAGAAAGGAGGAAGATGATATGGATATTGTATCACAAATAAAACTGGACGAAGAAACAGTGTCGAAATACAAGACTTTCAGTCAACGAGGACACACACGTCTTCTTAAGGAAATTGCAACTGTACAGCGTGAAGAAGAGCTATCCACCTGTACAGATGAAGTTTTGGATGCTGTTGAGAGTAAACTGGATAAGAGCAACATGCCACTTTACAGGTAATACGAAATACGTTTTTTATTAATACTTATAGTATAGTTGAGTCGGTTCACGTTGATGTACCGCAGGATATATAAAGTTTCTAACTTATTTGCCTTGAATAAATAATAAATTAAACCCCGTGCAGAAATATTGAGAAATCTCGAATGAAAGTGTTTGAAATTGATCGAGTATTTTAGTGAACCCTCTCAACTATACTATAAGACGGTTATATACCTTATATTCCCTCGGTCACGTTATATAACCTATACTCAAATGTGAAAATGTCTATGATCTTTCTTAACCCTTTCCCTCCTAGAGCTTTCCTCTGACGAGTAAAATAGTCTGGTGTTAGACATACTGTAGTAAAATATTTAAAGTGGGCGGTTTGGAGCGGCATAGTAAAGGGTTAATTGAGTATTTCTATGATTGTAGAATTGTGGGAGACAACATAGACAATGAAAAGTATGTGCGTGTCCAGACCAAAAAGCACATGAATCGGTCTATCCATTGGACCCACCAGTTTGCTGTTCTGGATAGGGTACAAGTCCCCAATATGGAAGATACCAAAAGTCAGAGGCTTGTCAAAGATTTGCAGTTCCGGGAACTTCTTCCTGACGTGAAGGTCCACACCAACTTGTTGAAGCGGTGGGCTGTGCTTGTTAGCAGAATTGTCACCAAGTACATGCAGTATTTTGGCTCTCTCAAGAAATGTACAATCCACCACATCAAACATAAGCATACACAAGAAATAGCACCCCGTTCTGTTGTGGTGAGTAACTCATATTCTGAGACACATCTGCTGCTCAGTCCTATTGTTTAATAGATGAGGAGGTTGGGTAAAATCATGTGACATGTTACTAAAATAAGTAAAAAGGTGAAAATTTGGTCTGAGTGAACAGTATTTGCTGCACAGTACTGAGAAGAATGAAAGGAGTTCTAATACAATATTCATTCTTTGCATCAAAAGTTGTTTAAAGTTATGTTCTCTCTCTGTTCTTATGTTCTGTCTCTTCTTTGTATAGTGTTGTTTAGGAATGGAATTCTTAAACCCCAACGTAGCTGGAGACATGGCTCAGCTTATGCAACACAACCAGAAAAAGTATGTGCCAACGCTTGGTGACAGTTGAGAGCCATTGATTTGTGTACCAATGCATGGAGACCAGCTCTACGAAGAGAGATCTAGAAATGTGAAATGGTCATTTCGAGATGGTCTGGATCCGCTTGAGCAATTACACGGACTGGATACTAAGTTTGCCGACTGGCATGCCAAGTATACACTATATAAGGTATGCTATGCTACCATTTATGCTACCTAATAAATTTCAAGTTTAAAATGTTTCAAAAATTATTCTGGTTTTCCATGATTCAAGCCCACATTTCCAGGCACTGCAGAGGAGGGGGGAATAGCCCCCTCCCCAATAATTTTGCCAACATTAGTCATTTCCATCTTTTGTTCTCTTTTTTGCATTACTTTAATCAAATTAGTTGCAAAAAGTGCTTGTAGTGCCCCTCAATGACTTATGATGCAATGAGTTACTGGGGAGACCTATTCGCTCTGCGGTCCCTGATTTTGCTATAAATGCAAAAATAGCTCCCTAATATTGGACTGTTTTGAAATTCACTTAAATGTATTATTATTTAGTTTGAGTACAAATTGTTTGTGGATCATTCATCTGCTGGTGAGATTGGGACAAGCATGGCAAGCATCAATCGCACAGGCAAAACAAATGCAGCCAAAGGAGTAGAGAATCACTACAACGAATACAGTGAGTTCCACTCAAGAGAAACCGAAGCCATTGGCACCATTGCCTACTGGCATCATTCATGGAGCACATGGGGATGAAAAACTTAGATGGTATTACATTTAAATGGGCAATTATTACTTAGCTTCAATAAATTAACCACTCCTTCAGGGAATTTCAGTGATTTTAATACAACGCATGTATTTAATGCAATCCATTTATTTTACCACAGATTCCCCCAATGGTGTAACTCTACCTGACTCCGATGCTCCTGGACCCACAAAAGGAAAATGGCTGCTAGATGTTTGTGAGGAGCATGTTAAGAGATTTGTCTTCAATGCTGGTGAAATGACTGGCCTAGTTGAACAAACAGATCAACTCCAGCAAGAAGAGAGTGGCAGGTGGGTTTGCAGAGCTGAAGACTGTGATGCCTCATATAAATTGCATTCAGGAAGAGTGAGGTATTCAAAAATAAAAACAAAACATAAATAGAGCACGAATAATAAGCATGTACAAGTATAATGTGGAATGGATTGGGTAAAAAGAGCAAATAAAGAAATTATTCACTTCAACCCCTCTATTAGACTGTTAGTATGAACAGATTTGAGTGATAGTCCGTCATGGCCTATCCTCCTACAATGGTGTAGATGAGCGTGATCCACTTGGGTATTACTACTGCAGAATAGGCTGTGGAGAAGTCTTCAAAAGCAAAACCACACGGAAAAGGTAACTTATTTATAAGATTTTACATATTTTTTGTTAAAACACTTTTCGCAACCAGCATCCAAAAATCCGGTGAATGTGATGTAAAATAGTGGTTCAGGGCCAACCTAATAACCATCATCTCACTTCCACACTAGTTTAACTGTTTTTTATAAAAAATATTTGAAACCTAGTTTATCAAATCAATTTTCACAAACAATCTTGTCTCCCAACAGTGTACATACTGTAGACATATTGTAGCTATCAGATATATTTGCCTTGATTTTTATTTTTGTTAACAGACATGAAGTGGGCATACATAATGAGACTGTTCCACAAGAAGAGATCCCCCAGGAAGAAAAAGTCGTTGCTCAAGATTATTTGTGCAATTACCATAGTACCAAACTTACATTTGGATTAATTGTGATGGAGTTTGAAGATGCAATCAAAGAAGGTGATGGGGACAGGCTCTTTGATATTTACAAGGTTGCCCTTCTCTTGTTTAAGACCAATGGCAACTATATAAGTATGCCTATGTTGTCCTCTTACATCTGGTGAAATGCATATGTTTCCTCCCAGAGAAACAGGCTTACAGTGCAAAGTGGAATAGATTTTTTAATGGGAATGGTAAGCAAGGAGGAAACATACCCCTAGATTTGAAAAAGGAGCAGCAAAATAGAGTACTGAAATCCATGTGACGATCATTGGGACCAAATTTAGATAAAGTCAATGCAGAAAGGGTTGCTGGAACTTTAGAGGCAGTTGACAGTATTTACCAGTCTATTAACAATGATTGTAATACAAGTATCAGAGGCCACAGGACTTCTTCAAAGGACAGAGAGGCTGTGGTACAAATCACGGATGACCTTGTAAGTCAGTCTGCCTTTATCAAGACAGATGGCCGAAAAGGACCCCTTCTTTTCCAGAGTTTAAAAGAAGCCTTTTTCACAACCTAGATTATCGTGACCTCCATAAATGGATAAAAGAACATGTGGAACTGTGGGGCACAATCTATGAAAAATAATTCGACATTCAAAATATATTATCAGACCTTTCCCGAATCCAGTGGGAAGAACAGCGAGTAAATCGCCTTCTGTATACAGCTGCTTTAACGAAGATTTTTGTTCTTCACGTAACACTCGGGAGAATCCGCGGTCTGCTAGATATTGTAATGCTTTCTCTAACTCACTCTCAAAGTCCGCCATATTTTGCCGATGAATAGCACTCTGCCGGAAGTGGCCGTGACGCGGATATGACTGGACAGCCAATCAGACGCCCCGTTCGCTGGCGAACGGTGTTTTTCAAATTCGGGGGGGGGGGTTTGTCTGCAAGCGTTTCCTTCCCTTTCCTCCCTTCCCCCTCTTCCCTTCCCTTCACTCCCCTCCCTTCCCCCTTCCCCTTTCCCTTCCCTTCACTTCCCTTCCCATAAACACATTTAGTAAACATTCTCAATCACTACACCTGTAGTGCTCATATACTTTTAGTAAACCACACGGACCTAGTGCACATATATACATTTAGTAAACCAAGCGGAAACGCTTGCTACGCAGGCTACGATTTTCACGGTAAGTCGCCAATTAGCATATCTCTCTCCCTGATATACTATAATTATTTCGAATAAAATCGTATTGTCGCTTTCGAGTTGAAACACAGGTAGTAATATAGGCAAATATGTTTATCTATAATATGTTTACCGGAGGTGTTTACCATACTTACCCTTGACGGGCATACTCAAACCTAAGAATGTGACTTTGTTCCTTTCCCTCACCAGCTCACTTATTATTGTCAGTGGCGTGCAGGAAACGATAATTAGGGGGATGGCGATAATTGGGGGGGGGGAGGGGGGGCGCATTTGTTAACAGGTCTGTTAACATGAATAATTATATTAATTTGTGCCCCCCAATTATCGTCTCCCGTACGCAACTGATTATAGTTGCATTTAGTGTTGTGTAGATTGGTTTATGTGTATTAGGGACTTTAACGCATGTTCCATGTAGGAAGGGAACACGATGACAGTAGCTATCAATGCAATGGGTCATTGAAAAAGATTAATACAGTTGAAGACCTATATGGGTGTTTATAATATAAGTATGATATAACGAGCAATTTTAATGGCTACCGCGCGTGCATTGTGAGGCCATAATGCACGCTTCTGGCTTTTGAAGTTTTTGTTGCTAAGCAACATCTTAAATAACATGTAAGAAGAATTTCATTATTGATCAAATAAATAAATTTTGTTGTTGCCCTATAATATCTTCTTATATTATAAAAGAATTAAAAAAGCTCGTCGCGTGCCTTTATGGTGTAATAATGCACTCGGGGAAATGTTGGAAGAATACTCGAGAAGCTTGTAAAACACTCGGCTACGCCTCGTCTTTTACAAGCTTCTCTCGTATTCTCCCAACATTCCCCCATCGTGCATTATTACACCATAAAGGCACGCGACTCGTTTTTTAATTCTTAATTAAACGTCGTGCACGTTCATACGAATGTGCAACATCTGCATTTAACTGGGACGCAGCGAGCGGATTGATATATCAGGTTCCATATAATTCTTTCGAAACGTATACCCGATGGCAATGTTTTCAAATGAATGTCTTATACTTCATTAAATTCATACGATTGATTATATACAACGACTCTTTATCGTAATGTTCATTTAAAGGAGAATTTCAGCTGTGTGACCTGTGTCATCCCGTTTCTTAAGGTCCTTATTACAAGGCAGAAGACAATCGACTGTTGCATTGTCAGATATAACTATTTTACGAAATATCGGGGTTAAGGTGTATAATGTCACAGAAAAGGTTGACGCAAAGTAAAAGTCGCAAAATAAAAACGAAAGCAAGCAAAGCGGAATGATTTAAAGGCCATATTCATCATTATCACATGACAGACTCATCAGTATCAGTTTTATCGCCCTTGATCAGGGTCCGGTTGTGCAACACTCAATTCAATAAATTATAGTTAACTCAGAAATACATCACTCAGATTGCTAATTTTGCTATTTAATGTAAATTTCGAGGTGACTATCGATTTTCATGCATTCTGATTGGTCAAGACTCATTGTCTCTAAAGTGATAGCCACTGGTCGGTAAATGTATTTATTATAAAATAATAAAGGAAGTTAATGTTATACGAGTCTTCGTATCTTAGGACGCTGGTCCGGTTGCCCCCTCCGGTGAGTATAAATATGAGCCCAGTTTGCCTGATCGAGTTGTTAGTTGCTTGCGTGACCCATCCCTCCTCTTTCTCTAACGACTTCACGCGATGTTGTGAACTCTATGAGAGAAGCGTCTTTATTAATCTTGCTGGGTTTTTTGTTAGTTTTTGTTTTGCAGGATTAAGCACAGTTCTTTTCACACCCGTTTTGGTCGTTGAATTGGTGTTTGGGGTAAAGGTAAATTCATTAATGATCGCCACATTTACAGGTATTTTTCTTTTGTGTGAGCGTGTGTACTTTGATGTTCGTATCGTTTATTCCAAGGTTTCACTTCAGTGACTCACGTGTGACAGTTGATCACGGGATGGAGGAGGTACCGTTAAAATAGCATGGTTCGTAGAGTTATTATCTGCGCCGAAAACAGCAAACTCAAAAGAAACACCGTTTCACCCCTAGCCCGATCGTTTCGCTCGGATACCGTCTCCATCCCTACCGATCGGCAGTGGGCAAAAATATAGTGTAAGAGCTGGTGTGCTATCGTACTGATGTGAGCCTTAGGATGCGTTAGAACGTTAACTATAATTATTATTCCTCTTTTGCAGTTGTATTTAAACTAAGAAATTAATTTTTAAGTCATTTAAATTTTTTTTGAAATGATGCATATGCTGATTATTATTTGTAAACACCTCGAAATTATACTAAAACAATATTTATAGTTGCCTCGGCCTCGGTGCCTGATTGTATCCACCTCGCCTTCTGCGAATAATTAATAATTGTTAAATAGAAACACAGAAAATCAATATTCTGTTAACTATTGCTTGAAATAGAGGCTAAAAAGAATCAGTGAAAAAATCAGTACATGCAATTTAGCACGTTTCGTATAGACTATAATATCTTCAGTGCAAACATTTACTTGCCATAATCCGTCCCGTGAATGGGATATGACGGCCGATAGTATATAATAAAATTGGCGTTCGTTAATTTTTATTTTATGCATGTTGCTATGGCAATATGTAAAAGCTTTCATATATTTATAACAGAGTGTACATAATGCACATTTATTATTCAATTGTTCCAGGGAGATTTCTTCCTGAAATTTCTTCCCGAAACACAAAAACATGAGACAGCTGCTACGAATATACTTGTGCGCACTTGGGAATTTCAATTCATTGTACACACTGAGTAATGTCCGTCATGTCAATAGGATATGACGATCGATAGTGCAATAAATTTAACTTTCATCAATTTTTATTACAATCATGCTGCTATAGCGACCGTCTGAAGAGGCAATATGCAAAACCTTTTATATATATACAGCATATTATACGTATACATTTGTCATTCAATAAGTTGCGGGGTTTCAGAGAGGTTTCTTCATGAAATTTCTTCAAACACAAACATGGAAACAGCTTCTACGAATATACTTCTGTGCTCTGTAGTATTTAAATTCATTGCAATGCTCGTTGGACTATTAGGAAACGCCACGGTTTTAATTCAGATCATATTTTTCAGCAAAGAGAAGTCAGCAACGTCTTACCTTGTAGCGAATTTGGCGGTTGCAGATTTCCTCGCGTGTGTGACATTTTACCCAACATGGATCATTGAATTCTTACAGACAATAATGAACAAGGAGACTGATCAGCATTTGTTCTGTATGTTCAGCCGTTCCAGCATCTGGTCCTTTCTTTTTGCTTCCGTAGCCACACTCCTTGCGATCACTCTGGATCGCTACGTGTACATTGTAAAACCACTCAAGTATCATATGATAGTGACCCGTGGACGAGTGTTCAAAGTTATATCGACCATTTGGTTTCTCGTTTGCCTCATCTTTGTGGCGCAAACCTTTTTGTGGAAAATTAGCCCGGCATTTAGAAGCGCGTGCACTCTACCTACAGACATTATTGGTATCATGGTAGAGCTCTCCTTTAGCTACATTCCTCTAATTTTTATATTCATCTTACATTTTCGTATGCTAAAGGTCGCTCGGGAACAGCAAAAACGAATTTTGGCTGAAAGTAAAAGAGGAAAAGTCAACGCGGAAAGAAGAGACGGTAGTCATCGAATTTTTCATGCTTTCAAAATGGCAAGGACATTCTTGATTGTCGTCGCTGTGTTGTCATTCTGTGTGTTCACCCCGACGATTATTGCGTTTACGTTGCGTCTCGTGTGTGACAAGTCGTCTGTCAGATTATGGTTTGTGGTCTTCCACTACGAATTTTATGGCTTGAACTCGATCGTGAATGCTTTCATTTACGGAATGAGGCATAGCAAATACAGAAAAGTCTACGGACGTATTCTTTTGAAAATATTTCTTTGTAAAAATCCGACGTATTGAGAAAGACTTTAGATCGCGTCTTTTGTAAATACCATAATATTTATATTTATAAACTATGACTATATTATACTTTATTAAGTGGTCTTTTTGCGTTTCACAGCGGTCGATCAGAACTGACTTAAGCCTGTTCCTAGAGTGTGTATGCATGCAGATATGGGACATCCCTTGTTATTGATGATTCATTGTTCATGGTGCTTTTTCAGCCGTTTTATGTTTTGGGTGGGACCTCTTTGTATTATATTACAGACACTAAACCAACGTACATTGTTTGAAAAATGCGACGACAACAGGTCTTTTGAGGAAGTCAAAAGTGCACCTGCTGTATATATAAATAGAATTTGACAACAAAATTAATGAACTGCACGTACATGCATGTTTCAGGACTTGGACAAAATTATTAAAAGGAATTGAGAGGAAATTAAACCATGGGCTCAATGCGCTAAATGAAGTTTAAATCATTGTGATTTATTGAGTTCCCTAAAGGTGAATAGAGCTAGCTTGTCGCAAGCCTTGGTATCATTTTTGATCAATTTATCAGCCAACTTTAGCAAGTTATCAGCGCATGCACTTCAGATTAAAAAAGCGGCTGGAGAATTGTTTTAATTTTACAACTGGAAATAATATTATAAATATGATATCCCTTATCTTCCTGGAGTCTCTATATCTGTCGGCAGGTAGAAACGTTGTCAGAAACATGTCATATTATGTTAATTTCGGAACTCAATGCAAGATGTGTACTTAAAAATAATTTTGTCAGCCAGCCAACATAATGAATGTAATGAGCTACAGAAATATCAAAAATGCATTTTCCCGGCTTTATACATTTAAATATATTCCTTGAAAAACTCGACGGATCGGAAATGTGTCATTGTGTTTTGGCCTTAGACTATAAGTGCAATTGATTTGTTAGAAATTTATTTTCTTATATCAACAACTTTTAAACAATGAGCCAGACCCCGAATTTTCGGATTTTTGTTCCACTTTAAGGGACTAAAAGTCTTGCTCATTGTTTTGAAGACACAGATGTATAGGAATACTAAAAAACTATGATGTGTCTGCGTGGAATGTAGCTTTTTTGGGAAGCTTTTTAAAGCTTTTTTGCTACAACAATAATAAACAGAATATCCTTGTTCGATCTGTGCTGCATGTGAAATATCAGACCAAAGTTTTTCGCATGAACCCTAAAAAGCCTTAGTGTGATATTTCACCGTACAGATCTCGCGCTCGGACAATAATCAGTCATTTTCTGTTGTTATATTTATTATTTCGATCGCTCATGTGCGCTATGCGGCCTACTTTTGTATATTTAGGATCGCAACAGTTTCGCAGGTGAAATTTGAGAACAATGGGCCTTAGACATGTCAAAGTTTGCTAAACTTCCGTAATAGACCTTATGCATAATTACGATGAAGCCGTAACGCCTGCAGGGAATTCTGTTAGGAGCTGTTTACATGAGTCGGTTACCCGAGATTCAACGAAGCGTGGGATAATTTTGAGGTATTGAAATGAGCAGATAACCTCATCCTGGCGGTAGTATGATTTAATGATTTAATAAATCTTTCCCAATAACTATTACAAAGAAACAGCAATAGGGGGGATAGGAGTAGGTGGAAACTAAATTCCTATTCATAAACTGCTCTCCTGTATAATCACCACAACAATAGCATGTGCTTGTTTGGTGTCATAAAGACTTATTTCAATACCTCAAAGACGCTTCGTTGAATCTCGGCTAACCGGGCTCATGTAAACAGCCAATTGATAGTCACGGCCGGGAAAAATTCAAACTTCAAAACTTCCCGGCGTGACTATTAAGACCAAAATTCCATGCAGGTTTCACGGCTTGTTACGTCATAATGCGTCAAGGTCTGTTATCAAGAATATCATAACATGATCAAACATATGTAGTTACTTTTGAAAATTTAAAAATTCATTAAAATCGCGTTGGCTGGTCACGTCCGGTGTGTGTCGGCCTTTATAGGAGAAACTGAACGTGATAAAGACGTAGGCTTATAAATAACTAATTTTTATACATAAACAACTGTTTTATTATTTACATGCATATGCAAGCGCTTGATGTAAACAACTTTCAAATTTATTCGTTCTATACATGCTGTTACATGCACGGCATATAATTATGAAAAAGATATAGAAATAGTAAAATTATGTATAGAAATCAGTCGTACCTTATTGTAAAAATTTGAATGCCATTATTTTCAATCGCGAAATTGGTAGCATGAATATTGTCAACCTTTCTTTGACGCCTTGTGATTACTGATTGGTCGCCAGTTATTTCTCACAAAAATGCTCCCATTTTCTACATACCGCGCATGTTGGCGTAGAATATTTAAACTTTCTTGTGTTTCTAATTTTTAATCGTTGTAATATATGGGATAGATTTTCACTTTTAGTATAATTTAATGTGAGTTTTTTCAGCCTCAGCAGACTGCCATGCATTAAAGTCTTTTCAACTAAACTATTAGCTATTATAAACTATTCTTATAGTAATAATTTAATATTCATGCATAGATTGCATGAATGATAAACGTGTTTTGACTGGGCCCTTGTGCTTAAGATATATCATATCAGTGCTGTATAATTATAGGATCTCTTTAAACTGCTTAATATCATCACATTTGCAGTCATTTGTGATTTCCGTATGGTAAAAGAACGTGCATTCATTATCACCTGTTCCATTTTGTATCGTTGCTATAAACCTTTTATAATCATACGAAAACAACCTTATATAATAATTGCTACCATCCTCCTAGAGATACACAGTGGTTTTAACCTAATTTCGAATTAATATGAATTTATAGGAATAAGAGTAGTTAATTAAACTAACTACTCAGACAGCTCAGGAATAACAGTGAGATTTTAAAATTATTGACGGCTCATTTTCATTTTTTGCAATCCAAAAAGACTAACTAATGCAGCTACAAAAAAGCTAAGGTTTTGTGGCCAGGTATCTTTGTTGCAAATTATGAAAGTTGCCGCCCACCTTCAACAATTGAATTATTTGAAACGAATTTAGCCTATTTTCTCTTGGAGAATGGTCAACAACAATCGTCTCATGTTATTCTTAAAATGGTTATAAATATTACTTTATATTAACATTCTGTTGTGGTGTTTCCCTCATTTATTCTCGCCCCATGACTTCTTCTTCCAGCCCGGGCTGTTTTCAGTCGAACCTTATCGTTTGTGGGCGGAGAATAGTCGCCATAGTCGTCGTCATCATCATCATCATCGCTGAAAAGGAAAATACTCATATTTTACATTCTACATTATATTATGTGTAGTAAGGCCTGGTTCGCACTTGTCCTAAGAATGGGGGATTCATTGCATTATTTTCCGACATTCAAATGATTTTTGCGCTTAAGGTTCGTTTGAGGATTTCAAATATTTTATAGCAGCTAATTCAGACCGACTGGCAAAATTTTTTTCGCATCAATAGCGCGTTAATCAGCAATGACTTGTTATTAATTTCTCTTCTTACTCAAACCGAAAAAAATTCTGATAATTTTGTCTCCAGAAGAAATTTTTATCTTCTTTCTCGAGAACAGGCGTGCTCATTTTTTCCTTATTCTCCTGTACCTTAATTTAAAATTTTTAATTTTATTTTATAATTTGTTATATAACAATGTTCTAATTTGAATCAAGTTTGTCACAGCGTTGAAGTGAAATGCTCAGATAATGCTGCTACCAGATTGGGGCAATCTTTTTTGAGGATCAGCGAAAAAATTGCATGTGCTGAAGGGAAAGAACGAGATCGAAGGGACCATTTCCTGACTTCCTAACAATTTCAGTACAAGGATCTATAATATTTGTTGACTTACTTTTCGGGAACGATCTTCCTCTTTCCTCTCTTAAACCAATTCTTTTTCTTTCCGACGTAAAAGGCGACCAGAGCTACCCCAAGGAACAGAAGAACACAAATTACCACAGCGACAATCAACGCATCGTCCTCCTCCTCGTCATTCTTCTGTAACCCTTTATTCGCCTCGCTCGCTAACGTTGGTGCCATTGTAGGCTCGACTTGCTTTGTGGAGAAATGGGTTGGATCAAAATCAAACTGTTGGCCTTGCAGTCCTTCACCACTGGTCTTAGCTTGCTGGAGGACTGTTGAAAAATTTGTCGTCTGATATCCATTTGATTTCTGAGTTACGACGTAGAAGTCAAAGACCACGCTTCCTTGTCGAAATTCTATCACCTTGACGCTGACGATTACAAGACTGTGGGAGCGGAAAAAATCTGCAAGCATCTTTTCAATCTGGCTTGCAAGAGTTTTAAAAGCTTCTGTTTCTGGGTTATTTAAATCCGAGGTGAATGTTTCGTTGACTAGGCGAATTTTACCGACAATGTATTCAACGTCCGTCGCATTGACGACGCTTGAGATTGCCGTCTTTGGCTTTGTTGGAATAATGGTGGATGTTTTTGCTTCCTGAGGAGACGTAGTTTTGGACGGTGGCGTCGTAACTGGATTTTCAATAGTAGAAGTTAGTTTAACAGTGGTTAAAGCAACATTTGACGATGATTTTGTGTCGATCGATGCGAGTGCTGGTGAATCTGTAGATCTGTAAATAAACGACGAGCTGGACCAATGTGATGATATGGGTGGTGACGAGGAGTGTGGCATCATAACCATCGACGAAGACACATCGTTAACTGTTGTCATAGCGGATGATGATTGTGTAGAATATGCTAGTATATGCGAAACACGTGTTAGTATAATACGCACATACATAAAATATAAAACGCATGAAAATGATGGAACCTGTCAGAATGTTCTTCGTCTGTGATGTTATTGATATATGACATAAACTTAGATATACCTCACCTTGTATTTGTGAAATGCTACTCTCAGCTATCACACTGCTACTTGGTTTCATTCCTGTCATCGTTGTACTCACAAGTGCCTCGGGTTGGGAAGAGCTCGAAATAACAGTTTCTTTTTCCACTGTGGTGATAAATTGAAGTATTTTACTGAGATTGAATTTTTTGACGATATTTAGGCATATAGAAAAGTAGAGCATTCACGTTCGACATGGAAATTGCGAAAATAAATTGCGGAATGAAATCTTAATATCCAATCATTCAACACAGTTCGCAGCATTTAACAAATGAATGAACAACTTCTAGAAGTTCAGGAAGGCATTTCAAAATGTATAAAACACATCAACCGCCTATTTAGCACTGTTAATTTAACCGATTTACTCTATAATTCTTTATTATGATACTCTTGCTTAACTTTTTCCTTGCCTGAGTTAATTTCAACTTTCCTTTTAATACAACCAGTCAGAGCTATTGACTTACCTAATGTCGTAAAGCACGTCTCGTCGCTGGGTAATCCATCCCCAAATTCATTGAATGCAACAACATTGAAACAGTACGTCGAATTGGATGAAAGGTTTCTTAAAACAGTAGATGTAACATCTCTAATAATCGTGTTATTGACGAAAGACCCAACACGTGTGATAATCTTGTAACCGTCAATGTTGCCATATGTTTCAGTGTTGGGTGGGATCGAAATCCAGGAAAGCTTTGACGTTGCTGTTGTTATGTTGGAAACTGAAACTAGGCTTGGTTTTGGGATGATGCCTACGAATTAATAAATTGGTATTATGTACCGGACTAGGCTTGAATGCATGTAAATCAGAATAACATATGAAATAAATAACATACCTCGCGTTTTTAATTCGAGAACGTCGCTGAAAGGTCCATCACCATACGCATTAAAGGCGAAAATTGTTATGTTGTAACTTGTTCCAGAGTGAAGATCTTGCAGCTCAACAAGACTTTCATTCTGGCGAGCTATCAGAATCTTGGAACCATGCTCAAGAGAATCTATAAGAATCTTATAGCCAGATATTTCACCATAGGTTTCTTCATTGTGTTCCAGAGTGTTCCAGGAAAACACACCACTGGTTCTCGTAATGTGAGAAATACTTAATCCCAATACTTTTGGGATCTGAGCTATAAGAGCAGAAAAAGACGTATTGTATAATGATGGCAATAATAATAATTATAATAATATATCTAAAATTTTATATCAAACTATAAAAAACTCTCTACCTCGCGTTTTGAATTGAAGAATATCGCTAATAATTCCATCGCCATACTCATTGAAACCAAGAACTGTTATGTTGTAGCTAGTTCCAGAGCGAAGATCGTTTAGTTCAATAAAGCTATCATTTGGGAAAACTGTCATGTTCCAGGATCCATGTTGCCATGAAACTATAATTATCTTGTATCCAGAAATTTCACCATAGGATTCTTCACTGTGCATAATGCTTTTCCACGAAAACACACTACCAGTTCTCGTGATATTAGAAATCTTTGCCTCAGAAACTTTTGGTATTTGAACTAGGAGGAAGATATGATTTATTCAATAACTATCGACAGTTAATTTTGTTTAGAGTTTTGATTGGAAATTTGTGAACACGCAAGTGAACTTTACACGGCGACAACCGGAACGATGCAAGTGCAAAGGGGCACTCCAGTAGCGGTGCCTGAAAAAAGATGTCACCAAAACATGGTCTTTGGAGCTTCATTACGTCGTATTTTCTGTCTCCAAAGATATATAATTTTGGTGTCTCGGAGTTTTTGACAAGTCGATTATGAGCTCTTAATTGTAGCTCATTGGTGGCCACATTCTTTATCTACTTTGGATCTAGAATGTAATCTTTCGAAATAAAAGCACATCTTTACCGTCTTTCCCCGGCAGGTACAATAGAAGGCAAGGGAGGGAGGGCTGCTGGCATAGCTGTCAATTGAACGTTAATCGAGGGGGGTCGAATTCTTTTCCGGAGTCCCTGACAATAACCCAAACACGACAAGGCTATATATGGTCGACAAAAGACTTAAAAAGCAGGAAATGGCGGCACCTACCTCTTGTAGTGAAGTTAAATAGATCGCTGATTACACCGTCGCCAAAATGATTATATCCAAAGACTTGTACTCCGTAGCTCATGTTTGGCTGGAGATTATCCAAATAAGCTTCATTTTGGTGTGCGGTGACTACAAAACTTTGCCCTGGTTGGTGATTGATGATATATTTGTACCCAGTTAGAATACCATACGTCTCATTATTGTCGATTATTCTTTGCCAGGAGAAAAGAGCACGAGTTGTTGTAATTTCGGAGATATTTGCCGAGACAACCTTTGGTATTTGCACTGATATCAAACAAGAAATAAATTGATGTCAAATGCTGGCAATTTAATTATAATCGGATTGGATGTTACTTTAATTTGGCATTCTGGATTTAAAGTGACATCTAATCCGATTAAAATTGATAAGCATTTCTTCTATGAGCAAATTAGGAATTGCCAATAAGTTTTTGTTTAAGTTGCACGAAATTCCCGATTTGACGTCATGTCGAGTTAACCTGAAAATACTGTTTAAAGGCGGATTTCCACTTACAGCGAAATCGTTCGTTGGCGAAATATTTGCATATTTTCTTTTGAATTGAGAAGTGAGAACACTCAAGTCGCACTAATTTATTTATGCTCATTTAAATTCAAAAGAAAATATGCTAATATTTCGCTAGCGAACGATTTCGCTGTAAGTGGAAATCCACATTTACTGTAAACATGAACATGAAAATACTGTAAACAGAAAACTGTTCGGTGCAAATATATACCTTTTGTTGTGAAAATCACTGATTCACTTTTAGGACCATCACCATTTATATTGTATCCATAAATTTGAAACCGGTAGGTCGTGTTTGAAGTGAGCATTTCAAGAACGTGCTTAAATTCAGTGTCCGACGCCTTAGCGGACTCGTTAAACTCCACTGTTTTGTTAATCCCAGGTATCAGTATGATCTTATAACCAAGGATTGCTCCGTTCGAGTCTTCATCGGAGATCGCTAGCCAGTTTATTACAGCTGAGTGATGAGTTACCATGGTAACCTCAATTGAACCAGGTGGCACACGTGGCACTGTGTAACGTACGAAACATCTTAGTTAACTATATCAGTCACGAATTCAGGGGTGTGTAGAATAAATTACTACAGCTTAAATCGGAATCGCATTGGTAGATTTTAATGTAAAAATATTCTTTTCAAATCTATAACCAATAGCATTGTTACACCCCTAGATCCGCCACTGAACTATATAACCTGTAAACTTAGATAAAAAAAACTCAGATCATTCCACCAGGAAAAACGCTTTTAAACAGTGCACGGAGTGTGTCACTGCTCTGTTCGCGTGAATTTCAAAATGAAATATTTATGTAATGTCATGCATTTCATAAAATAAATAGACTAGCAAGGCAAGGTGTACCCCACATTCATGGCTGGCAATAAATGCATCCGTGCTTAAATAAATCACATTACATAAAATCGTTTTATCGGAAAGAAATTTTCTGTTTTGTTATGTAACAACATAATTCCCCAACAAGAACTTACGGTTTGTGTTTTCAAGTTTATTAACCGTGGTTGTGTAATTTCCGAGACCATTATTTTCAAGATCGTCGGATAGGCTTTCTGCGTCAGTCTCCGTGTCTTCTTTGAATTTTATTTTAAAGAGAAAAAGTACACTTCCTTTCCTGAAAAAAATATTTGCGCCATAAAGAATGATTCAGATTTTTTTGGCTAAATCCGCATGCTGACAACATTTCATAGTGTACGATGGATATCGTAAGGGTACGATGGATATCATGCACACTTTCTACTTATGTATTGTGTTGTATGCATCATGTACACTTAGTAAACAAATCTTCCAATTAATATGGGTGACTATTAAGTTCAGATGTTCAGTTGTCTAACTGTCTGCATGTGGGATGTATTTCCTTGTTTTTTAGTACGGTCATTCTGATCGAGCTGGTTTGTAGAAATATTTATGAGGAAAATGGCTTCAAATTTTATTAAGATTATGTAAGATGACTGTACTTGGTACATACGTAATGCCATCAACTTCAAACGTTGCATTTGGGTATTTCTTCTTCAGCTGCATATAAAAAGATCAAAACGGCTTTTACAATTGCATCGCATGCGAACCTTATATACATACACTCAGCACTCCAAAAGAATAATTATAAGGCCTCCAAAAATGGAGGGAGACTCTTCCCGAATTAATAGAGCCAAAACTAGCATTTAAATAATATACGTACAAAAGAACTCCGTCGGGGAGAAGAACGAATAGTATTATTATAGCAATATGCATGCACCCCCGCCCCATTAATCTAGTCTCGGCCGAGGCCCAGCCTATGGACCTTTTGCATAATAGACCAACTTACAATCTAGGCAACAAGAACAAAATAGGTCACCACAGCTAAAAAGAGCGTATCGAATTCAGTATAATTGCCAAGTTGGCCGCAAAATGTCAAGTATTACGGAAAATATAGCCATCCAAAGTTTTGCCATTTTTTTATAACTTTTTACTACGGCCGGAAGCGTAGTTTACGTACTTTACAATATTTTGCAGCAAAACTTGGTAATTTTACTAAATTTAGTATGCACTTTTCGGAAATTTCTTTTTTTGTTGCCTTAATCAAAAGTTGGTCTATAAAGCAAAAGGTCCATTGAACGCAAGTTTAAATCATGCAATAAATTAGGCTATTATATAATGATTATTTCATACTGTTATTGTCGCTTTGGAAAGAACGAATCTGTGAGTGTCACCCGAAATGAAATTATCATATTAATATTGCCCGAGTGCGTTTAACAGGAAACAGCGAAAAAAGATATTTGCAGAACCTACTTCCTCCAAAAGTTTTGCTAGAAGGTCTTGATATGCTTTTGAACTTGTGTTGTATAAGTCATCTGTCCACTCGACATTAGTCATATTCAGGCTGACGTCGTAAGTTGTTTCTAAATGAACTTAATGGTTTTAGGTATGCATACGTCAGGTAACACGGGTACTTTGCTTCACGTTAACATGCATGTCAGGATGACCCTTCGACAATTGTAAGAAATAGATTGTGATTTCATACTAACCATTACACTTTTTAACATTACAAAACTCCTTTTCCTGATAATCTCCCAGATGTGAACACATGGCTTCTTTTGAACAAGTACGATTTCGTGACATCACACCTCCACCACAGTCACGCGAGCAATTACTCCATTCACCCCAGAGCAGAAAGTACGGGGGGAGTTCTAGGAAAGTATTTTAGAGACACTGTCATAAAACTGATTACATTACACATCGGTTAGAGGAAAGACTAATGAAGAATGATTTAATTTGTTGTAAAAAACGATGCAAAGGAAAGAGAGATTCATCTATTTGATATCTGCAACAGAATAAGCACTTCTTGTGTAATTATTCGACAATTATCAAAGTATTTATAATAACTTGTAGGTACACCACGTAAGTATTAAATACTGCAAAGCTTTCGGTCCGTTAACCCGGACCTTCATCAGTGCAATAATAATAATTATTAGTTATTATTATAATTATTAGTTATTATCATTAGTTATTATAATTACTAAAGTCGCCATGCAATCATACAAGAAAATTATCAAAGTATTATCAAAACTACCTTTTGTTTTGAATGTTTCGGTTTTCATTTCTCCATCGCCATTGACGTTGTATCCAAAAACATTGACTGTGTATTCTGTATTAGGAATGAGATCGGAAACACTCACTAAAGTTGCGTCATTACTATGAAACGTCCAGCTTGCATTGCCAGGTGTTAAGGTGACTTTATAGCCAAGAAGAATTCCGTTTGCATTGCTTGGCTGAATCCTGTTCCATTGTATCATCGTTGAATTTGTCGTGGTGTTGTGGACCAGAACAAAATCTGGTTCTCTTGGCACTGAATATACAATCAACAGATTCCATTAAAAATTTTGTGCGAAGATATTAATTTTTAGTATGTTCGAATGTGAGTAAGAAACATTCGTGGTTAAGTAACAAATGAGCGCATGCAATTTAGTTTACAAAATAATACGCGTGCGATAAATGTTTGATTCAACGCAACTAATTTGTCGATTGACGGTAGAATTTAATAACAACGTGCTATCTTTATATCTGCTGACGGTATGAACCCTTTACCAAGAGGAAACGTACTCTCACTACTACCTTTTGCCGCAATTAAGGTAAGAAAACAAGTTGAAATAGAACCCAAATGGTTCGCTTACCAATATTGTTAACAATCTCCACCAGAGAAACGGAGAGGTTGCCAATCTTTCCTTCATTAATTGCATTTGTTAGGTTATTGATATGGCTTGATGTAGCAAAGGTGATGGTAAATGAAATAATGACGCTTCCTTTGCTGTTAGGAGAAAGTAAAAACGAAATTAATATCAGAATAACTTTTGATCGACGGAGAAAGATCCTTATGTTTACGGATCAGCAATGAATGATCCAAAGCTTTAGCAACGGTGTGTGAAAAAACTGTACGAAATTGATTTGTTGGAATGCAAATATTCGATAATTTTTGAATATTTCGTTTTGAGTTGACTTATGATTTTTAGCTGAGAGACAATACAGCAATATACCAGTAATGCATAAGTAAAAACAACGCTAATTTAAAAAAATGTGATTAAAAATGATCGAATCAGAAACAAATGTTACTCGTACATAAGTCAAAGGTGGAATATTACATAAAAATGTCGGAAACTCGACAACATACATTTGAAAACTCGGTAACATACAGTAGGTGATCAGGTTCATACAATGAACGTTACTGTACCTTATGTTGTCAACCTGAATCGTTACGTTTGGTCCATAAAGTGAACGCAGCTGATAAAATAACATAAAGGATATCGAATGTTATATAGACCTTCATGATTAACATTTTGTACAAGCATTAATTTGATTACCTCCTTCATAAACTGCTCTACGAGTTCCAAATATGCCTCAGATGATGTGTTGCGGAAATCATCGGTCCATTCCAAACCAGTTAAATTAAGCGAAACATCAAATACTGTCTCTATAAACAGATTAACAAATATTATCAAAAATTAATGCGAAGGACCGCTTGCACTAGTGACTGCGTAATAATATTTTTACTTTTCTAAAATTGTCCGTAATTGTTCCACGTAGGGATTATCATTATTTGCATAATATTTTTTCGTTATTGCAATTAATAGCAAGATTGACGTTTTCAACCTATGCAAACTTGCTCTCCAGTGAACTTGTGCGGGATAAACACTGTTATCTAGTAATAAATAGTATTTTATTAATATAGAAACGCGCTAAAAATTCTAAATACTCGTTGAAACCTGTAATCCCGCCTTTTTTACCATTCAAATAGCGTTTGTCACACACATTTTCCATATGAGTATTTTTCCTGTCTTTTACCATTTATAACGCGGTTAAAAAGCGCACCCAGAAGACAGGACCTTCCTGTCTTCTTACAGCTTCTACATACTACGCTACGGAATTGAAAAATCGAGTAGCTAAAAGATAATAAAAATTGCTGCATGACCTACTCATAAACTTACCATTGCATTTATGTAAGTTGCAGATGGTTGTATTTACACTTGGTCCCAGACCACCACATTGCCCCTCTTCCGAACAATTACGGGTCTGATATATGTAACCACCACCGCATTTTCGCGTGCATGTTGTCCAGTTACTCCATGGATGATAGTAAGGGGGGATGGTCACTGAGCTCGAAACCACTGGAGTTACAAAGGTCTTACTTGGTTGAATTGTTGTAGCTGCCATGCCGCTATCGCCCAAGGAGGAATTGGTCCCATTTTCTAATACAACAGAAACCACAGCGCTGGCAGATGCATGAAGGGGATTCGTTGTGGTAACGTTGTAACTATGTAATTGGCCGAGGATACTACTGGATGTCATATGCGTTGTTGCATTACTTGTTTGCAAAATCAGAGGCAGGACATTGGTAGACGTCGCATGTTCAACGTTCCACAAGGCAGTCATATTTTTCACAGCAGATATCGACGATTGTATCGACGGCAGCACTTTAGAAGTAACTCCTTCGTTTTCTGGGGTAACTGTTGGAGAGGAAGTGAGCATTATGTTATAGTCCGAAGAAACTGTGTGAGAGAAAACCATGATGGTGCTATCATTCTTGGTCAATAAAGATTGTGGATGAATACTATTTGCTGATTGGATCGTTGCATTGGGTTCCTCTGAGCGTAAAACAGAGGATACAGAATCCCTTGCAACGAGCGAAGATGGAGTGTTTTCAGAGATGGTCGTGGTTTGGAGGTTATTTATTATGTTAACTGAAGATTTCGGATTCTTTGAATAGTAAGTTTTTGAATACTGAGTTGTTGAATACTGTGTTGTTAAGTGCTGAGAAAACTGGTTAGTTGCACTAGTTGAAGATAGGTCATTCTCAACTTTCGATGGCGTCAAAAAAGATGTTTCGCTTCTTGATGCAATTGACGATTTGATTAAATCATTTGTTGAGAAAGAGATTTGGTTCTGGTCATTGCGAAGGGTTGTTGAGCTAATTAAATGCACTGAATTAGTTATTGTAGACGACGAAATCATACCTTTTGTGACTGAGTCCGAAAGGAAAGGAAGATTAGTTTCGGTTGCCTTAAGATTTAAGTTTTTCGTTGTGGTGAGCTTAACTTTTTCCGTAACCATGATTGAGGATTTTGTTTCTCTGGTATTAACTTGTTCAACATTGCTGATTTTTGAAGATTTGGCTGGATCCACAGATGTTGTTGGTTGAATTGCTTGTTTGGTTTTTGAACTTTGATGCAATGTTGTTTTAGTAATCTTAAGTCCTAGATTCGTACTGCTGGTTTTCCTAATAAAGTCACTTGAAGGATGCTCACCAGCTGCTGGCGTTTGTATACCATTATTTGTCGTTTGGGCCATGTTATCCAGACTGGACTTCATATCCGGTGCAGCAGATGAACTTGCCTGATTTCCTTGAGCGATATATGAACTTTCATGCATTTTGGTCGACTGAAGGTTCGGGGTCGCATGAGCATTTAAAATTGAGGTTGTTCCTTGATCCGACCCTAGAGCTTGTTTTACTGTCGAGAATGTTGAGGTAATGTGATCAGTACTGTACCGCTTTTCTTTCTTTTTCGACACCATGACCGTTCTTGTTGATTCTTAAAAAATATATCACATGTTTTAACCCAAATTGTGGAAAAATACTGGGGGTGAAATTTTAGTAACTATTTTTACAAATCCAATTAGGGATATATATATTCGTCGCGTTTTCTTCGCCCCATATTAGGGGCCAAGAAAACGCGACGAATATATATATTTGTTATATAGGTGCTGTGTATTTTAAATGTGATTAGTAATTTAAATTGTGATTCCCGCCACGGAAACAAATGAAACATAATGAGTATATATCGCGACAAATTTTTGGAACAAGTATATGCATGCATAATGATGAAAGTGCTCTTATACATAAGTCTACCAAAATTGCCTTCTTAAAAACTCATTTTAAACCACTTTCGATAGACGCATTTAATTTACCATCTTAATTATTGTTATACAGAAATACGCTTTTATACACCGCTGCTATATTTCCTCACTGAATATCAAATGAGGGTGACAGATGTAGCTAATAATTATTTAGCCGCTGATCAAAACGGAAACTCGAAACAATTTTGAACCTAAATCTTAGACGATACAGGAAAACTACAAAGTTGATTTCGAATAGAATAAAACCCGGGTCAACAAATTCAATTGCAAGTCAAAAAGCGTCGTTGAACTATAATGAGCAGATTCTAGTGTAGCCGGTCTGGCAATTTAGTCCCGCTATATAATGATATTGCTGGAAACTCATAGACCGTATAAAAACAAACAAGTTTCAAAGAAATAAAAAATTACAATAAACTTAAAATTGGATAGAGAAAAGTCAAGACTTCTTATACTTTCAATAAAAAAATCAGCTGGAGTGCATGCGTGTAGTTGCTATGAGGAATTTATAATTATACTTTTTTCATTATTTCATATGTAAAAATCATCGTATCATTATGTTTGACTGGGCGTAAAAGACTCCATTATATTTTACAATATGGATAAGATTTCACATGAGTAGCCATACAGTTCATAAATGTAAAAATATTCCCCTATAACCTTTTTCGTTTAACCTTAACTTTTTTTCGGTTTTCCACCGGCGTATTTCCCAGGCCGCGTGGGAGCGGGATATTTTTCCTTCCGATAATCTCTTCTCTGCTTGCATGTTTTATATGCAGTTTATTTTTTAGAGCTCTTTTAATTTCATTTATACGTCTATAGCTTCCGTTTACAAGAAGAAATCAAGTCAAATAAAAAGAGAGGCGCCGTGTATGTTTTGGGTTGCTCTATCTAATAGCAAACTCGTAATTCATGCAGTAGCGTAGCCAGCCTGACGATTTGTCCCGCTATGCTAATATTTTTGTGTTCATTGACTGTGAAAAAAGTAAATTTCTACAGAAATGAATAATTATAATAACTCGAAATTTACATAGCGGAAAAAAATCGTCAGGCTGGCTATATATAGGCCACTGGCACTGACTTGTACATTATATGTGCATGCATGTGTACGAACAAAAATGCAGATTTTCAAGACACCCGTTGCCACTAAGTTTACAGATATTTCAGTATAATATTGGTCTGTATATTTAAACAGAGCATTCTATTGCGATTGCGATTAAATTTGATTGAATTCCAAGGCTAGGTATGTGTTAATGAGATCACGTCTGCATGGATGGTTTTCAATAATGAAACGCTATCCCATCACCGATTCAATTACATTCGCCATAAATTATATCGTTTTATAGCTAAATCCAGTGCATTCAAGAAAAAATATCGATCAGGCTATCTGAAATAAAGTTGCCTAATATTGCCATCGCTTTCAAGGCTCTTAAAAATTAAAATATATATACACATATGCGAGTGTGCTCAATCAATACATGCAAGTATATGGTTAACTATGTAATTATACACACACGAGGTATACAAATTGTACGCGTTTGTTTCCAATGAAATAAAATACACACAATCTTGGTCTTCAATACTGGTTCATGTAGGTTTCGGTCAATTGTTATTTTATATTTTCAATACGAGGACGGAACTATACTGCAAACATGAATTAAAATCTATTTTGTCAAAGAAATGCAACACGAGTATATATGAATCGCATATACGCACCTTGTAAAACAGATGTTTCCTTTTTCATCTCGTGTATAGAACTTGTCTTGATGGTCGTCGTTTTCTTGTCATTTTCATCCAGTTTTATTTTTGTTGTTGTTGTCTCGTCTGAATCGTTGCTAACAACTCTGTAGATGGCATAGCCAAGTCCGCCGAGAATAAGCAGCAGAATCAGGACCAAAAACACAATTTTTCTTGCTTGGATCGCGCGGCGTTGACTAATTCTTTGTTGTTGGGCTGTTTGTCGAGAAAGATCTCGAGTCTCGCTTCTATTCGAGCCCGATGCCTCAGTGCTGCCACTACGCAGGCTATGCGTTGGACTTCCCTTCCTTGCCACCAAATTATCGAACGAAGTCGACATTTTTAACACCGTCAGTGCTTCCAAAACTTTCCCCTTACGAAGACTTCTTTTACCTTCTTTATCAAACTTTTAATCTGTATGTATTGCCTCTAGAACTTTAGAGAATTGAATTTTCAAGCAATTTGTTTCCTGTTTCCTTGGTTTCCCTGCAAAATATTTCGTACTTTATAAATAGAGACACTAGAATTACTAATGCTTTAGCACGTCGCATCTGTTTTGCAGGTCATCTTTTTAATGATTAACCGCAAGCTATTGCTATTGGCTGAGCACCAGTCACCTGTTGTCAATATTTTGCGCGAACGCCATTAGCAAGCATTTTTAGTCACAGGAGGTATATAACATTATCTCTAATATTTTTTTAGAAGCCCGCCTTTAATGAACTTTGCTATAGCACTTTGCTAATATTAAATGAACTATATTATATTCTGCACAAGTTTTGCGATTATGTTATTTATTTATTTTGGCAGTTTATATACTCTATTTGCCCGTCAATATTTGTCGCCAAACATTTGTTTTTCCACACAAGGAAACTAATCCGCCTAATAATAATAATGTTTTCTTTAAAGTTCGGCGTTCAAGTTACCCTCGCTTGGCTGCGCACGTCGTAGAATGCAACTTTATCACATCCGGCATGAACATCAACGACATGTACATTCTACCCAATGAAAACTAGGTTTTAATAGGGATTTCAACTCTTTTGTACCTTTCAATTTTTGTATCACAATAACATTAAACTTCTCTCAACTAGTTGCAGGTTTCTTAGACCTAATGAATCCCCTCTTACGATGAATGGAAATGGGTCTGAATATAATTTATAAGTATAATATGTACCTATATGAAATTAGGCTATGTGCACACGGTAATGATTTCGAGGTTATTCGCATTCGTTTTTATGCAAAAACGGCTTCAAAAACCGTCTATAAAAGTTAAAACAATATTTACAATAAAAGTTAAAATTAATTTAGTATATTAAGCATGTTTTCCTTCGATCGTGTAGACATTGCGTCTAAACAATAATGATTATAGAAAAAACGATTTAGAAAACGCTCGAAAACGACGCTCGTATGCACAAATTATATCCTTAGTATTGCATGTGAGTTGCGAGCAAAGTAACGTTCTGTAACACCGCCTTAAATCTTTAGTGAATAAAGGTAGCTGGGGTATTTTCTATATGTGTTTTTTTAAGGTAGCTATTCCTTTGTTTGAATTTTCTTAGATTCAAAGATTATCGTTATAATAAAGTTGATCCATGCATGTATCATAACTCTCTCACTTGCGCAATATACTCGATATATTGCGGGCTACATCAACTGCAAGGCACCCTTTACACGAGCCCAGGTTGATTTTCAGCACGCGATAGATGGTCATTTTTTTACCTTCTGTTTACCTGAACACAGGCTATAAGAACAATTTTTGCCAACCCGGGTCAGCAATTCTGATCTGAACCGGGCTGGCTCGGATAACATTCCGAGCAACAGACTTTCACGCTTTACACGAGCACGGATCAAGCCCAACTTTGTATCAAGAAACAAGCAAACTTTTCACGTCTTCACACCTCGACCAGGGTCTCGAGAAGGGTTCCTGCGGGCTTGATACGTGTGAAAGGTCGATCCGGCTATCGCGCAGACGCTAATAGTGATTTATTCGTAGTTGGGTTGAACAGTGCTGGCTAACCAACCCGGGTTCATTGACTGCAAGCTGTACATAAAGGTCTTCTTAACACGAGCACGGTAAATCGCATAATACGAGAATGACTTAAGTGGTTTGGGAATATAATTGCCCTATTTGCTCGAAATTTCTATCATAGAAATAAGTACGTGCTATTTGACGGTGACTAATGGAAACTATAAGGCTATAATGGAAATATAAATATATTCATGCATGTTAGCAGACTGTAAGAACAATCAATTCAAAAGAAGCTTATAATATTGAACGGAGTTTGTAATTTCCCCTTCAACCACGATCTTCCATGATTCTTGTACTACATGAAAAAGTAAGGCTGTATTTCCTCCGCAGGCATCTTTAATGTTTTAATAGTATATTATTTGTATATTGTTTTCTTTTGAAACGAAAGGAGTCAAGTTTAACATCCGTTAAAATTCTAAAAAAAAAATAGGCAAATATTTCGCTATACGCAACTATTTCTCTGCGAGTGGAAATCCACCCTAAGAATAGATATTGATTCAAAGATTTAGGCCTAATAGTGACTTTAATTTCTAATACTGCTTCCCAAATCGTGACTGCCCAGCTTGGTTTTCATTTGTCACTGCATGACAGGCATCGTGCATTGTTGGCATTGCAGGTGACAAGAAAATTTATTCCGTGGCGCAGTCAGCATCAATACTTTGGCGGGCTCATAATTCATTCATATATTCATGTAAATAGATTTTAAAGATTTCAAAAGAAATTGATCGCGTATCACATGAGTATATGTATACGCCTCTCCACTATTATCGATTCAGGCTACGCCACTGAATTTGTTCCAAATAACAAATCGTTTATTTCGTCATTGATCAGGGACAATGGCCATCGCCGTCTGACCATGATATATGAGAGAAATGTTGTAGAAAACCTAAGCGCGCTAATACCTATCAGATAGTTCATGGTTGACAGCAAATTGAGCAGAGTTTGTAAATTCCTCTTCGACCCCAAACCTTTCTCCTGAATTTATCCTGATCAAGAGAAAGCCCGAAATTATATTTCAATATTAATCTCATGTTGATAGATTCATCAAGCGAACCTTCCCAATGACGCCAGATTGACCCTCAAATTTCATTGGCCGTTTTATGGTAAACAGTCCTATCTTTATCCAATAAAAATACAGGCGACATGACGTCGGAAAAAATATTATCAACATTTCAAAGACATTGTCGAGTAGGAAGTCGTTCTTGTTTTGGAGTGCTGGTGGTGAGGCTGCGTGTCTAATTTATGGTAAGTATGTATATAAAGTATACCAGTTATATAACCAAGCCATTTATAATAAACATCCGGCCCTCATAATATAAACTTTTGTGTGTGTAAAATGAAAGACGTGAAGATATTATAATTATTTCATGCTGTGTGACTGTAGTATCTATGATTTAATATAATAATTCGCACAGCCGAGCGATGGACATAACAGAGCGACGATCGAAACGGAATTTCAAGTGTTTTGACGGAGTTGTGTATCAAAGTATTATTCTCTTCCGTTGTCCGGCAGTCTTGAAAGATTTAACAGCGTTAGAATTTTCCCTTCCTTTACAATCGGCTATGATTTTAGAACCATCAACAATTGGTAGAACCATATAAAGCCTTTCCTTGCGAAGTTTTATTTTCTCGTTTGTACGCGAAATATTTGACAAATAATTCTTGAGAAGTTTTACTAAAATATATATGTCGAGTATATTTTACGACAATACGACCGAATCTTAAAACAAAAAAAAAATGATTAAAAAACGCTCAACTTGCTCGAAGATATTGTTGCGCAATTCCTTCTCAAGTTTTCGGCCTTGACGGCCGTACACACGAGCATTATTTCCTTGTTGAAAAGCTGGCATGAACGTTTTGAACAAGGCTCCTTGACAAGGTCAAGGAAAACTTTTCAACTTTTTTGCGTATACACGGGCAAATAAAACTTGGCAAGTAAAAGTTGTCACGGAAAACCTGCCCCCCTGAACGCCGAACGGGGATTAGATATACAAGGGGAAGCCGATTTAAAATTCACATTTTGTGGCTAATGGAATTCGGATAAAATATGAGCAATATAATAGCATATAATAAATTTAGACCTGTCAATCTGCGTAATATATATTATTACATAAATTGCGCCTTATTAACGGCAACAGTTTTCTCGGTAAGAACGGTGAACAGACTAGAACGCAGTTCGAGCATTTTATAACTTGAACACTGAGCTTTCACCAAATCAATAGCATTTATCCATGGGAGCTGTGAATAATGACGAGAGCTTACATTCGATATCGATAGGAATTAAACGCAAGCTGAGATTGGTTGTTGTTTAAACAGCTTCTGTAAATATTGAATACTTAACATTCATATTTTTTTGATAGCGCGGGTGGTCTTCAATGATATCCAAAATGTTTGCTCTTAGGTATTCATATGGTAATAGAAACGGGACGAAATATGAATGTCGTTTTGTTCATGATGTTAATTGGAAACTTCTTCGTTATTACACACGCGAGGTAACAATAGTAATAATCTTTGTTCAGTTATGTCAATGTAATTAATATAAATGATTTGCTTATTTTGGAATATCAATACGTGAAATTCATCGCGAGTTTGAAGTTATAAAATAAAGAATAAGTCATTACCCATGAGATGCTTTTCACATTTATCGCCTTTTTTGGTTTCGCCAGCGACGAGCGCAGCCGTTTTTAAGTTTGGATTTTGAGACTGTGTTTTTAATCTCAATTTGAGCAGAATTGTTCAGGTGTATTGTGTCTGGATGACACACAGTGATTGAAAAATTCCAGGCTCGTTTCTCTGACTACAAGATAGCTGTTATATCGCATAAATATACAGGTTTCAACGAACAGTACGTTCAATTCCATGAAATGTTAAAAAGATTGGAATAAGCGCGAGGAGCATGGGAACCATTCTTGAACCTACTATTTTTCACCATAGTGCAAAGAATTAAAACATTTTACACACAGGTATTCTGATCAAACTGGAACCATTACAAAAAAGAGCTGAATATTGAAATTAATAACAGTTGTATATTTTACCACCATTTCAAGTTTCTCTCTCTCGAGAGAGCGTGGTTGTCAGGAAAGATTACATATGCGTCTTTCTTTATTAACACACGCAAAGGAATTTTTCTTATTTTTGATTATGAATGTAGAGATACGCCATATAACACGAAAGAAAGACTAGGGATTTTTTGTTGATGATCGGGTCAATGCATTGGGTTACAGTTCGTTAGAAACCACTGGAGTAACACCACTTAGTTATAGACGGTTTGTGATGCTTCGTGTTTGGAGCAGGGAAAGGCTTTGTGATAAATGCGTTGAGACATAATCCTTTAAGGCCAAAATTTTGCGAAACTAGGATCAAAACTTGGAAGCAGTTCATTTTAACGATTTAGAATTTTTCTATTATTGCTTATTAAAATAAACTCGGGGCAGTGGGCGCTCTAACTCCTGCCTAAATACACCTATATAAGCCCTACCGCAGACCTTACGTCGGGAGGGTCGACGAACACTGGCCATTTCTCTTTTTTCCTGAATAGCACTTCAGAATTTAACAATGTTTGTAACAAGCTCTGGTCACAGGACAGAAATCGCATTTCCCTTGGGCGTCATTATCAGGTCAATATCCAGGGACGCATTTATGACGCCTCATCGAACACCGATAGAGCTTATGCACCGTTATTCTCTTATGTTGATCGAAATGTGCTGAACAAACCGACCTTCAAAGCCTTTATTGGTATGTGAATATATCATCTAAAACCTACGCCTGAAGTTCGTGTGCATGGAAAAGGCATTATATGAATTAAGTCAAAAAGAGTTATTCATTAATTGGATGAAATTAATTAATATCGCGGTCTGATTATCTTTTTGAAAGAGGGTCAAAAGTTAAATAGAGGAAAATTATACACCACTGAGAGCTGTCAAACGGCCATTTCGAGGCTCATATATAGAAGTTTATCAGTTCAGACGATTCCTTTTTACCATTGAAGTATTAAGAGTCTTTTATTTATGCCCAGCCTTGCTAGACAACTATGACCGTTTTGTTGGAAATACTGAGGATATGACCTCGAGTGAAACAAGAGAGAGTTGGGCATTCTTACATGCGATATCTTCGACTGGACCGTTCAGAGAGCTGCATAAATATCTTGTGATGAAAAGGAAGGCACCACCATCGATGGTAATGTAATTCTGTTAACACGGAGTATTCTCCGTATTTCGCCGATTTCTTTCGACCTAGTTTGTGCGTTGCATTTTGGTATAGCTTCCAATGCAATTTAAACGATTTCGATACGACTCAAATGCGACGCAACAACCAGGCGTTACTTTGATAAAAAAGTTTGTCAACGCGATCTGACGCGATTTTAATGGAAAGAAGTACATCGAGACCGTATACGTTTTCCAAGAAAAGTAATTAGGCCAAGAACAAATAATAATGTGAATCCGCAATGCTATCAGTTATCGCGTCAAGTTATACATATGAAATTTAATTATGAATGCTGCTATTCTGCATGATAATTAACTTCTAATCTACTAATTAGATCTGATTATTATCCCTGCTACCAAATTAGATCCGAATTACTGTTGACATGAAGCAAAAAGTAAACACGGCAAAATTAGTGTCTCGTTATTATGTTTACCAGTCTTTTTAACGAGCAGCCATACAAAATATGCTCCACAGCGCATGCACGAGAAGGGCTTCTTAGTTTTTCATGCGCCATTTTGACATAACGAGTGAAAAGAAAGAAGTGTGTACCCGAGCATCACCTTTAACTATATAGTATAGAAGGTTATGAATGACTTACATTAAAAAAAGTGGTGAACAACGCGAAATAAAAACTAATTACGTGCAATTATTCCTACTAGAACGACTTTTTGCAAGAAATGTTTAAAATATGGTTTTATCGATACAGACGACTTAGTTACCGTGATTCCTCCGGTTTCGAGCACGTCTTTCTTGGTGAGATATCGAGGGGAGCGGTGACTGGATTTCACAACTGGCTTCAGTTCTATTTTTTGGAAAAGAATAAGCAACTGGACTATCGCGGGTTCATGCGTTACTATAATGTTGAAGTAAGTAAACATTCCCTTAAGGCGTCGTCCATGGCAGTTTGCAGTGTCGAGTTCAGAATAATTCACTGCAGCTCTGACTTGTAAATGGTTGATTTAAATTTGCAAAATTAATACTGTTTTACATATAAATTCAACAACCAATAACGCGTATATATTAAGGCGTTTTCAATTGAATTTTGCCGGGTGATTGATTCTTCCCATCCTAAAACTGCAAAGTGAAGTTTCAGTGCAAACCATTTGACGTTAAATTACTGAAATAAGGAAACGCCAAATGACCTAAGTTCGGATTCAAAATTACGCTTGTGATACGAGATGTACGTTAGTGAAATACTTTCGAGTTGCATGTATTTTGAAGTGTGGTGAATGCACTAAAAATTTTGTAGTTTCGTAGCCCTTTGACTTTTAAAGGATTGATTGATAACTGATTGTTACGTCATTATGTCTATTTATAGCCCAGCCGCCTGAAACTGCAATTGTACTGGGGAAGATACAAAAAGCTCGTGACGAGCATGTTCCTTGGAACGAGTCCTGAATTTGATATCGCTGTGTATACGTTGTGCTTCCTGGTGAACCCAGGAAAGTCGTGCTCGTGTACAATCAACGGGCAAAATATCCCCATCACAACCCATCCCTTGGGGAAATACGTTGGTTCCGCCTACTTAAGAATTTAATTTTTCATGTTAAAGCTGAATTTAGCATCTTTGTGAAATATCAGTATTAAATAATACTCGAGTGTTGGTTAAATCAATAGATGTTAGGCAAATATGTCTGCGATGAAGTTTTTATAATTGCTGAGTAGCTAGCTTTACCTTTTTTAAATGACGGCAATAGCCAGTGATGATTTACCACGAAATCAATTTCTTAATTGATCAACTCAAGAATGGTAAAATCCAAACGAAGATGCACTACAAAGCAAACTCTATGCTCAAGAAACGCATCTTATAGCAAATCTTTACTCAGGTACACTACTGTGATTGTATACTGTGTTAACATAGCAATAGCATCGTGCCTAGACTCGTCATCGTATAAACTGGTGACTAATAGACTCTGGCTCGATCCAATCCACTTCAACCTCGTTCAACCTCGTTTAGTATTGGTTTAGCCAGGAGAAAACGATTGCAATTGAGTTAAGTCTATTAATTTTGCACTATTCCAAGACAATTTGCATGTTTATACACGTACATGGCCAGATAGCATATCATTTATCGGAAAAACATTCTTATTTCACCCTATTTGAAGTAGTTAACAGTAAACCACTGCTTTCACAATGCGAAGGTTCAATTCGTTCAAAGCGAAATTTGTTAAGGGTTGAGGACGAGGAGATCGAAGTATTAGTGAGCTTAAGAAGGTGACGTTTTTGACAGCACGAACGGCACGAGTAACGCTAAAGACGGGGCAAGGATTGTGATTTAACGAAAAACCAAAATTTACTTCCGGTCAACGTACGTGTCGCCAAACACGTCACTTGCCACTTGATTCACTATTGAGGCTTATTCCGGGATAAAGTACATTGACAGCGATTGATAGAGTGGCCAGCAGACAATGAATATCAATATAAGTAGTAATGTTGAGATGCCTTGCATAAAATGCTCTCGCTTGAAGCTTGATAGCTCAACCGCGACATGTACGGACCAGATTCGCAGATATAGCGACGTTCTAATCCAAAGTAATTTCGTGTTTTTCCTGTCAGCTTTCCTATTTGGAAATCTCGTATTACTTGGAAATCCCTAACTCTTCCATTATTGAAATATGTAATTTTATACTTATGTCACGGTGTACAGGAAATGCAACATTTCACAATAGAATCAGCAAAACATAATTACCAAAATTAATCACTATAGCTATTATTCACGATCATATGCAAATTCATTCATAAAATTGTAATTTCCGTGAAATAATTGGCCCAAGTTGAAATTTACCACATTTCTGCACAGGAAATTGGAGTGCTTTAAGCAGTTTAAGGTCAGGAAAGGTTGACTGACTTGCCTGACACTTTGATATAATATGCAATGTAGGAAAGCCGTTGTCAAAGATTGCATTACATACACAAGGAAAGGGCGAGAATCGAATTTTGTTGCAGCGAAAAATTATTGGTAAGCTTCTTAATGGTAAGACTGCTTTACTCTTAGATAACATTTTAGCTGGAGATATCAGGAATCTAAGTGAACTACCATGGGAAATGCTTCGCACCATTTGCGCAAATATTGAAATTCTACCCTCCAAAATATAAAACTATCATCGGGTTCTCAATGCGAGCAGAACTAAAGAGGGAGAAGGAATAAAACCCGACAAATGAATTAGCAGACGGTTCGTCTGATCTTTCAAAGAATTATGTAAAAATGCATGAATGCTTTCGCTAATCGTTAATTATTTGAATATATAGCTTCCAGCGAGTGCCACAAACTACAACAAACAAAGCTTCTTTGAATATAAAAATTTAATACATCGGGATTATCATGCGGTATTTGATGGACGCCTTGATTAAAACAATATCTGCAGTTAATTAGGTTCGTATTTGCGCTAAAATGCAAAAGAATACCGGGATTTTGCGTATATATTGCTTTGCGCTGAAATTCCATCATTCGTAGTTACTAATTAAAAAGGTGTTGGAATGGAGTTCGTTTGCGCTTATATAAACATACATATATAGCAACAGTAGAAGAACAAAGTATTTCTCTTATCTGCACTGTTTACGTTCTATATATATATATATAGTGGATAGAACAGTAGAATAGGATAACGTTTATGCTAAGCCCAGTCATCGAAAAGGAAATTTTGAATCATGATGGAAATTTTGAACCGTGGGCAAGAATCATGATGATATCATCGTCGCGCTAAAATATTTAATAATTGATATGCAAAATAAGAATTCCAATTTTCTGATAACCTGAAAATAGATGGACTTGGAAATTTGCCGGAAATATTCTATGGAATAACATTCCGATTTAGGGCCCAATAACCATACAAAAGTGAACCATAGAAAGTATAGTGTAGTTAGTAAGCAAAATCCTTTCCTGTCGTTTATCCCTTTTAATCTCAGGTAGGCTTATGTCAATAAGTAAACAATAAAATTTTTATACATATTGCGTATCTATAACAACGACAATACGAACAGAATAATATTATCTGTACATTCAGATAGTTCATTTAGTATGATATCATTATTATATAGCTATTACGGCAACAATTTTTTTAAAACCATTTAGTATAATTTCGGTATACTTTTAAAAATATTCCTGTAAAACGTTGAACAGATGAGGATTATGGGTCACTGACTACTGCACACTTTTCTGAGATTAACGCCAATATTTGCCATATGTTTCAATTTTTGTATTATGCGTGCTACAACCATGGCAACCGAGCAAAGTGTGACCTATTTTCAGTCAGACAATGTATCCAGTCACTGTGAGGTTTGTCTGATTTCTAGATTTATATTTAGGTATGTTATTGTTGTTGATTACTCCATAATTACTGCATAATTGGCATTCTTATAAACTGCATGCAAAATTAAGCTTTAATTTAAACACAGAGTTGTTCAATTCCCACATTTCAATACTGTTGTTTTAAACACGCCCTCCGACCTGAACTCCGATATTTATCGTTTATATCCTTATTGAACTTTTTGAGAATATATATTACACTTAATCAGTACAGTATCGTACCAAGGTCAGTGGAATAATTTATGCTTAACTTTATTAATTATCATTGCAACATCAAACGCATTTGAATGCCAATAATTATCAATCAAAAACCAATAACCAGTAGCGTAGCCAGAACGATATATAATTGGGGGGGCCCATATTCATACATTCGTGATACTCAGGCTTAATTTCTTTTCAAATCAATTGTCTTTACCGTCTGTTTACATTAATATATGAATATGCCCCCCCCCCCAATTATCGATGCTGGATACGCCACTGCCAATCACAGGAAGAAAGCAATCACAATGTTAATATAAAAATAAGTGGGATATCAATGGTTGTATTGAAGAAATAGAAAACATTTTCCGTGTTTCTATACAATCAAAGAAACACGCGTGGGAGCATGCGAGAACGAGAAATAATCACGTTATTTCGAGTTCTCCCAAACTCCCACAAGTGTTTATATAACTGTATAGTAACACAGGAAAATATGTTTTCTATTTCGTTTGTAAAATAACTCAATAAACACATTAAGTAGAAATATTATACAGTACTTCGCTCGTCAAGTTCGGCGGGAAAAGTTATACAGTTATAGAAACACGCTTCTCGATCAATCAGCACGCGCGTACTACAAATGTTATAATTATTATAAAAGCCTATTTTTTACGAATTTAGCACATGCATGACAGAGATCTAGATGTGGCAAGAAGACTTGGGAGGTTATGATGTCAGCCGTTTTGAGAGTGAAGTGAAAGAGGACCTGCTTTGTGCCATTTGTCAGGATGTTCCAAAGGATCCAAGAAAATGTTCGCACAAAGATCATGTATTTTGTCTTGTTCACATATCACGACATCTCGTCGAAAACTCTGAAACATGTCCAGTTTGCAGAGATCCTCTCAATCAAGCAACCTTACGATGTCCAACAGGATTTCTGAAGAATTGTTTGGATGAACTGAAAATCAAATGTGATCACAATGATCGAGGATGTCCTGAATACGTCCGTCTGGAACATCTTCGAAAACATGTCCAGGAATGTGGTTACGCACCTGTCATGTGTAGTAATGAAGGGTGTGGGGATGAGGTCAACAGAAGAGACATTGAAACCCACGAAAAAGATCTTTGTCCCTTTAGGATTGCCAAATGTCACGACTGCAAAGATATCAAGGTATTAAGTCAAAAGAGGAGATAATTATTTGATAAATTAAGAAAGCCCACTGCAGATTACGACTTGAAACAGTATCGGATTATCCTCTTTTGGTAAATTTGAAGGGATTAAATCTTATAAAGGGGGTTCCAAACCATCGAAAACAACTGCATTTGTATAAATACGATATCTAGTTATCAAACGATTTGAAATAATTAGCTAGATCTAAGCTTATATTATCGATTTTATAATTATTACTATTATTCGAAAAAAAGTCATAAAAAGTGAAGTAAACATAATCCGTTTTTCTACTGCATTGAACATGCACCCCAAACGATACAAAATCGTCAAGGACCAAACGTCAATTGGTACCAGTACTTGTTCTCTGAACATAATATATGCATCGAATGTGCATTTTATATTGTAGCTAGTCGACAGAAAAGTTTTGCAGTGACATTTGTTTTATCGAAAGAGCTACAAATTTACCCTTTTGAAGTTAATGCAATGTCATGATAGCCCTTTGTAATTGGTTACCTTTGCGAGACGACACACCAAGCCATGCATGATCATACAGATAAACTATATGTTTCTAATGACAGCTAACACGGAATATCGAAGGAATATTAATTTTTTTAAAACACTAGGAAGCAAATAGGTTATATATACAGTAATATATCGTTCCTCTTTCACTCGTATTTGTATCCGTGCATGTTGTTTATTGACATATATGCATATGAATAACTTTGCTTATTTTATTCTGTGATCAAAACAAATTTGAGGAGAAATTCTGCATTACTGCGTTGAAAACATGCAACTGGACAAATTAACTGATCAAAAAGTACGAACCCTCATAGCTGAGTAATAGTTCTGTGTAATAGTATATGCACTTTTATATCTTTAGGATGATTTGGATGGATTAAATGATCGTTTCACAAGTTTGGAAAGAAAACAGGATGAAGTGATGGTAAGAA